CCTGGAACCACATGATCTGTGCCACAGCCCTGGCCACTTACTGCCTGGGACACAACAGTGTGTCCTCCATATACAGCTAATGAGTGGGTGGACATGAGCCTCCTGGTTCTTCCCCATCCACAGGGCAGGGAGCAAGCACAGGGTGGCAAACAAAATCTTAACCTAGTGCATTGGCACATCGGTCACTTCCTCCCTTGTAAACAGGAAAAGAGCCACATCCCCAGACAGAGGCTGGCCTCTGTCTTCAACTCTTAGACTTCTCTTTTTCCTTCCTTTTCTTTAAATTTATTTGTTTTGCTTTTGTAGGTTGTTTTCGTCAGGACCGCCAGCTCCTCAAATAACCACACAGAGACTTCTTATTAATTATACATGCTTAGCCCCTAGCTTAGGCTTGTTACTAACTAGCTCTTTCAAGTTAAATTGACCCTTATTTCTTATCTATGCGCTACCATGTGGCAGCACTTTTTTTCAGCACAGCATGTCTATATCCTGCTTCTTCTCCATCTGACTGGAGACTTCGCCTTCTTCCCAGCGTTCTCTCAGTCTGGCTCTCCTGCCTAACGTCTTCCTGCCTAGCTCTTGACCAGTCAGCTCTTATTAACAGTGACAGTAACATATTTTCACAGTTTGCAAAAGGATTATTCCACAGCATGCTTTGCATTTTACACTGAAGAAACCACAGATTTCCCCCTCTTTTCTCCTCTCTCTCTCTCTCTCTCTCTCTCTCTCTCTCTCTCTGTGGTACATGTATGAACTTTTTTGTCTGCATGTGTACACATGCTTGTGGAGGCCCAAGGCTAATGTCTGAATTCATCCTCAATTACTCTTCTACTTTATTCCTTGAGGCAGGGTCTCTCAATCAAACCCACAGTTTGCCAATGTGGCTCATCTTGCTAGCCAGCTTGCCCTGGGAACACCCCAGTCTCTGCCTTCTGAGACTAGAATCCCAGAAGGCTTGCCTGTGCCTACCCAGCATTAATCTGAGTTCTGGGGATCTGAGTTCTGGTCCTCACGCAGGTGTGCTGAGCTCTTTAACCACTGAGCCATCTCCCCAGCTCCACTCTTGACTCTTGGATCTCTCCAGGACAGTGCATGCTGACAGGGGCCGTGGTCAGAAGGCGAATAGGGAGTGGCTGAGTGGAGTGTGGTGCAGACTGGAGCCTGCAGGCCTGGGCTGGGCTGGTTCTGCTTGGCTACAGCTATGACAGAAAAGGTGACTGAAAGCTGTGAGGACATCCTAACATGTGCTATGGAAGGCTGGGCCCAGCTGCCAACACTGATACATACATATATATGTATGTATGTATATGTATATGTATATATATATAATATGTGTGTGTACATATATATATATATTTCCCCCTCTTCCCTTTTCTGTTTTCTCAGGGTCAGGTTCAAGGTGACTTTGGAATCCACACTTGGAAGACCTGGGTCTCCGAAGGGCAGTGTGGAACGGCGCTGTCCCACCTGAGCCTGACATACAGTGAGCTCACTATTCAGACCTAAGCACACTATTCAGTGGGGTCAGTGTGGGTGGGGCACTTGCCACGGCATGTAGGCGGAGGCCAGAGGAAGACTTTGGCAGTGACTTCTCCCCACTTTTGTGTGGGTTGCAGTGATCACCTCAGGTTGCCAGGCAATGTACAGCAAGTGCCTGGAGCAGCCCAGCCATCCCCCTCACCCTGAACCACCTCAGCTGTGCACTTGGGCAAGAGAGGCTCGTTTATAATGCCTGGGTTTGTCCATCTATGCTTCCTAGAGTTTCTGCTGGAGGATCTGGCCTTCCAGGTGAATACATCCCCTGTACTCACCCCCTTTTGTATCTGACCAGGAGCCATCACCCCACCTTTCAATAAGCTGGAGAGCTCCATAAGTATTCTAGCAGAATTTGAAAGCATGTACCTAACCCAGGAGCCACACCCAATGTTGAAAGAAATTACAGTTTGTTTTGGTTTGGGGGTGCCTCACACATGCCTAACCCGACCCAGTAGTGCAGAACACACCTCTGAGGCAGGATAGAAAGACAGGAAAAATTATGGGGACATGAAGGAGCCCTTCACCTTTCTGCTTCCCCAGTTATGAACCTACAATCTAAACCTAGGATTTTCATCAGAGAGCCCACACACTTGTGTAATCCCAGCTCTCTGCTTTAATTTACTGTCTGACTGCCCCATCCAAGGCCTCTCTCCACAGACACCTCACAATCTCAGGCATCATGAGAGAGGAAAGGGAAGCGGCGTACCTGGATAACGCTAATGTTTCTGTGATCCCTGAGAGCAGAGCAACCTATTTCCTGGCTTGGATCAGCGTGGCCAGGAGAACAAGGGTCCCAGAAGCCCAACAGCCACTCAAGTCACCCCAAGCCAGTGGCTCCCAGGTCTGTGGATCCCCAGATGAACAAGAACAGTACAAAAGTAAGGAAAACTTTGCTGGATTGGAAAGCAGCTTCCCACAGGAGAACAACTTGAAGGTGTGTAGCTAGCCAGGCCTCCTGTCTCTATTTTCCATCCTAATTGGCTTGGGCTGGTTTGTAAACTAGAGTTCAGAGTTTCCTGTTTGACTGAGTTGGATGGGTGTGGGGTGAGGTAGGAGAAACAGACTTGGGGAGGGGATGGAGTGGAGGTTGACTGAGAAGTCTCAAGGAGGAAAGAGGAACCGGAATCGGAAAGTGACGAAAGCCGGATGGCAGCCAGCCATTATGATTTCATTGGCGAGTCAGAGCATTTTAAAGTTCCCTGCTTCTGGGTGAAATGCAGAGCTTTGGGGATGATTTTACAGGCATTGGGTCCCGTCTGGGGGTTACTGTCTGTACAGAGTTAATTTGGAAGCCTCCCACTAGTTTGCAGGTGTCTGCTTCGGAGATGAGCTCACAGCGTGTAGAACTCACTGAGAAGCCTGCTCTGCCAGGGGCTTCTCATTCCTGCCTAGCTGCACGGTTCTCACTCTAAGAATGAATTAATGCTACTCTTTCTGAGATTGCTCATACCACACTTTGGGGCATCTCACTTCCTGTGCCATATCCTTGGAAGCCCATAATCACACCCATGCTTTTGGGTGCCATTTAGTTCTTTATTTTAAAAAATACATATGTAAACCAGGCAGTGCTGATGAATACCTTTAATCCCAGCACTCAGGAGGCAGAGACCGGCCGATCTCAGTGAGTTCAAGGCCAGCCTGGTCTACAGAGTGAGTTCCAGGACAGCCAGGACTGTTATACAGAGAAACCCTGTCTCAAAAAAAATTCTAAAATAAAATAGATATATAGGTGATATGTGTACATGCGCGTATGTGTGTGTGTGTGGTGTACATGTGTGTACTACATGTCTGCAGGGCCTACAGCAGCCAGAAGGGGGCACCAGATCTCCTGGAGCTAGAGTTAAACCCTGGTCCTCTGAAATAGCAGTAAGCACTCTTAGACTGCAGAGCCATTTCCTCAGCCCTTGGGTGTGTTTCTTTCTCTCTTTCTCACCCTGTGGTCTCAGCATGCATTCATGTTATCTTTAACAGAACCTCAAGCTCTGCTTTATACTGCCTTCTTCTGAAATTCCTTCCTGCACCAAAGTCACAAATCCTGGTTTGATCTGAGCCAAGATCCTTCAAAATTATGGGGACTCCTCAGGTTGTTGAGGGTGACAGTGTCGAGTAGTGTCTCTGTCCCTTTGCAGCTGGCATGTCACCAGGCACTCGGGACACCTGCCCCAACAATGCTGCCTCCAGCTCCAGTGGGCCTGGTCTCTGGCAGCTTGCTCACCCCTGAGTCCAGCATCCCACCCATAAGCTTGCTTTTTCCCATCTGTGCTATCAATGGGCTCATGAACCCCCAGTCATCCTGTAGCCAAGACAAAGCACTCTCACCCTGTTACCCAAATTGGGGGCTATCAAGTCTCAAATGCCTCAGCTGCAAGGAGCTCCCCTCAGTTTAATCACCAAAGAAAGGCCAAGATTAGACCCAGGGCATTTGTGCTTCTGCCGATTTATTGGCTAGCTGGACACATAGAACATACACCTTGAGACAGCCAAGCCCCTCCCCTCTCCCTGAATGTGGAGGGGTTCAGCTGTCCCATTGAGTACCGCCTTGGTGTCGCCTGGGGTTGGGCTCCCTGGGCCTCTCCTGCAGGAGGATGGGTGTATTGGCAGGAGGTGTAGGGCTGGGTCAGTCAGTGGCTTCTCCCGCAGAGTCCCCAAGCCAGTTGACCATCCTCCTGCAGACAGTGGGGCCCACCACAGTCAATCCTGTGTCTTAGGAAAGATGCTCTTCACCTGGAAGCTGGTCTTCCTAAGTGTCAACAGCCCTCCAGTCACTTCACCTCCAAGAGGATTTGGAAACCAGGTTCCCAAACATGATCATGGGGAGTGTGTAATGGATACCTGCCATTTCCAGCGCATCCAGAGGCACCCACAGTACACAGAGGTGCCCGCTGTGTGACAGCTCAGGCTGGGTGGGACAGAGGTGGGCCCTGGCCAGAAGCTTGCGGTGGGAATGATGGTCACACTTTGACCTAATGGACCCCTAAGTGCTTCCTGGGGGCTGGGGTGGTAGAGTCGCTCTTGTCTTATGTGGCCTAGTCTGACTTTATAGTCATTCCCTGCAGGGCAGAAGGCAACCAGTCAAAACCAAACCCTGGGCCCTTCCCATGGGAAACACAGGCCAAGCTGCCCATGACACAATGTGCCAATGCTTCTAGACACTCAAGTGGATTTACCCACAGAGGAGTTTAAACTGTGTGGGGATGGTATTTAGGGGCATCCCATGGTCATGTTGATCTACATGAGAGTCCAGTAACATTGAGGGCCCTTCTTTGGGGGGGGCACCAAGAGGATTCATGGCCGGAGACTGAATGGGCTGCAGATGAATGCAGACTCTTCAAGAGAAGAGGCTGCTGAGGGGGATGGGTCACCCTGGGCATTCCATCTAGAAGCTGGATGTCTCTTGTTCAGGGTCTATCTCGGTCTCCATCGCCTGGGCAGATGTCCCATCTGTCCCATCCCAGGGGAAGGATGAGGGACGGGTGGTGGCTCAGGGTATCATATGCCACCACTTGAAGGCAAAGGGCTCCCGGCGCACATTGGTGCCACAGTGAACTTCTCCGTGCAGCATGTGGTATGGTGTGAAGTCATCGATGAAGGTGCAGTGTAGGCCCAGCGGCTCCAGCAGGGAGCGCACCTTCTCCTCTAGGCAGCAGCGGCCGTTAATGATGGGGCCGAAGGGCTTGGGGATGCCCAGGTACTTGCCCAGCACCAGCATGTTCACCTGTGAGTAAGTGGGGGCTCAGATCAGAGGCAGAACTTCAACATCACCTTTCCACCCTGGGAAGCCCCAAGAGAACCTGGGGTTATCTCTAGGCAGCCTTGAACATATCTGGTCTCACTCCTCTGTCCTGGAGAGAGCCAGAGAATCTGACACCTGCAGAAGGATCTGCAGAGCCCAGCCCTGGGATGTCCCCAGACACTGCCTTCCTCCTTGGTCGTTGCCATGTTTGTACAACAGAACCCCAACCTCCTAGGCCACCTCTGATTGGACCAAGTTAAACAGCTGACCAAGATGAGCCAATCATATTCTCTCTCCCAGAAAGTCGTAGTCATTGTCTATACAGGTCCTGCATCTCATGGCCAATGTTCATTGTGGCTGTTTGAATGGTAATATGAATGAGAATGTATACGGATGCTTGGTCTCTAGCTGGTGGAACTGTTTGGGAAGGATTAGGAAGTATGGCCCTGTTGGAGGAGGTGTGTCATTCAAGGTAGTTTAGAGGCTTTGAAAAGCCCACACCATTCCCAGTTAACTCCATCTGCCTTGCATTTGTGGATCAGACATAAGCTTTCAGTTACTGCTCCAATGCCATGCCTGTCTGGCCCTGCCTCGTCCCTTGTCATAGAGAGCATGAAATAGTAAGTAAGCCCCATTAAATGCTTTCTCCTATTCATTGCCTTGGTTGTGGTGCTTTGGCACAATAGCAGAAAAGTAGAAAAGACATTCGTATCTGCCTGCCGAACCGCAAAGGAGAGAAGGGAAAGGAGCAGAGGCAGAGATGTGGACACAGAAATGAGAGACCTCCAGGTCACACTGAGGTCACACAGCTGTCCCTACCCTCAGATGTCACAGTGCCCTTCCTTCTGTCAACTCCCCATGTGGCTGAGCCAGCTTGGGTGGGCCTCTGCTTCTAGCCAACACAAGAACCTCAACCCTTGCACCAGCTTCGGGGAACATGTGGGTTAATTACAAGGCTGCCCCAAGCTTGCAGGAAGGAAGGGGAGCGGAGAAAGGCTTTGCAAGCAAGGGCAGGAAGTCAGGGAGGGAGGGAAAGGAGGACTGGGTTAGGTTAGGGTTAGGGAATTCAGTCTCTGAGGATGGCGTGTGGAGAGGACAGCAGGTGACCAGGGCAGCAACAGTGCCCCTTGGCAGTGTGTTAGAAGGCAGCCATACTCCATGACCCTCCCTCAGGCCTGCTCAGTCAGGGCGCTTGAGGGCTGCTCCAGGTGTTGGGTATTTGAAATGGAAACTCAAGGTTTAGAGCTAGCAGAGACAAGCAGGGCACATCCCACCAATGGCATGTCTTCCAGGAAGCCCTCTAGGATTTCCACCCCATCTCAGGTTGGCTGCACCTTGTCCCGTCTGTGATCAGTGGCTGGGACATGCCCTCAGAGCGGTGAGGAGAATGCTCCCTTAACAGAGGACGGGGACCCTTCTCAGCCATCTCTGTTCTCCGGGGGACATCCGGCGCTGTGTGGAATGATGGCAGCAGAATCAGGCTGACCCCTCAGCTCCTGGGTGGCGCCATGTGCTGTGCACGCATGGTCCTATGTAACTTTTCTTCATGCCACAGATGTGAACTAGGTCCCCTCCTCCCCAGGCAGCCACAGGAAGCCATACTGTCAGCCTAGACATCCTGGGGCCTTGATCTCCCCCCCACCCCCGTCACTACAGCTCCACACATGTCGTCCCGCATACTAAGACTCAGAGCCTCCTCTGAGGAAGCCCAGGTGGGGAACTCACCAGGTCGGGGAAGAAAGCCACGGCCTTCCTCCTCTCCGTCTTGAAGAGCTGCGGGATGTCAATGATGTCACAGTCAGCCAGGCCTAGTTCCCTCTTCAGCACCTCACGGTTCCAGTCAATACAGCTCTGCAGGTGGGCGAGGGACCAACATGGAGGGACCTTGCCAGCGTGGCTGAGGCAGGTGTGCAGGTGCCCATCACCAACTATACAAACCCCAGCTGCCCAGAACCTACCCTCCCGAGTTCTGCTCCTCTGTCTGAGCAAACATTGAGAATACACCATCCTAAAACCCAATTTAGGGGATCTTATTCAATACATGGTTTAAGATTTATGTTATCATTAATTGTGTGTGTGTGTGTGTGTGTGTGTGTGTGTGTGTGTGTGTGTGTGTGTGTGGCGTGTACCTGGATGAAGTACCCTTGGAGGCCACAACAGGGCATCAGATTCCCCCAGGCCAAATTTTACTTCCCCAAGTTTCTCTATCCACGTGGCCATCCTCCAGTAGGCGGTTGGGGCTACAAGCCTTGTTATTCCCTCATCCCCTTTCCTTCCACTCCACATCAGTTCCATCTCAGTCTGTCCCCATCTGCCCCCGTTCGCCACCTTCACTTCAAGGACACCCCTTGAATGCTGCCCTCTGGCCTGGTGGGTTGCAGTGCCTTTGCCCACTGATTTGTCCCATACTTCTCTCATCTGCATCTTCACACAGTCCCAAGTTCAGAGGTATAAAAGTCATACCCTTGCTGTAGACTCCAGCATCCTTCCTGGGGGTTGAGTTATATCTATCTCTTTGCTTATAGTCCTGGGTGCTCACCGGCCGGGTTGCCTGTATTTCTCAGGTGCACAGGGCTCACACCTTTCCCCCGGGTTAGATGAGGGTCTGGGCCTGTTTCAGCCTGACTGATCTTTTGTAAACTGTGGGTCCCAGATGTCTGTCCCAGCCCTGACCCCAGTCCCACCCACAGCCCCATGGCCTTTGTACCTGTGCAAACTTATTAAAGTTGATAAGGTTCTGGTTGGAAAGGACCTGATTGATGGAGATGGTCTTGACCCGCCTGTCACCTGTGAAAGAGACAGAGAGGCCTGGGGGCGCTAGCACAAGGCTGTGTGAGGGCCTCCAGTTCTGAAGACCAGAGGTCAAGTTCACGGCTGCTGGTCTGGCTGAGTCAATGCCTCCTAGACTCTCCTGGACAGGGGGTGGTCAGCATCTGTGAGAGATTAACCTGGCCAATGGGCACATCTGGAGGAAGAAGAGGGATTGGAGGAGCCTGGTTGCCAGGATGCAATGAACTGCAGAGTTTTATTTGAGTTCACTGGAGGTGATGACTAATTGGGATTAATAGCAGCCCTGGGCACCTGGTAGTGATTCCTCTTCCTCCAGCTCCTGGGGAAGAAGCTAGGTCTGTTGATGGCCTTCACCCAGGGCTGGGGTTTATAGGATCTTTAGGCAGTGAACCAGACTGGCCAAGCAGGTCCTAGAAGTCCAATACCAGCAGGCTCTGGCTTGCTTTTTAGGAGCGACTTCAGGTCTGGCTTTCCTGCCTGCCCAGTGGAGGCCATGGAGACAAGACTGGCCAGGGGAGCAGAGTTTGCAGCCCTCCCAGTTGCCAGCTAACCAAACCCTGACCATGAGTTCCGCTGCAGTGAGTGTTCCCTGCAGTCTGCGAGGGATGTGTCATTACTGTCACCTGACTGATAAGGGACTTGGGGCTGCAAGTGCTCAGGTGACTTACCCAAAGTCATACAGCCAGGGCTTGGGCGTCCTGGGAGCTTGCAAAGGGCTTCTAGACCCTCATTTAACCTGGGAAAACTAAGGACGAGAGCCCTGTGCATCTGAAGGCTGGGACAGGCAGAAGAGGGCCGCTTTGACCTATACACACAGCTGTAGGTCCCATGTCCCCACCTGGAGGCAGACAGTCTCATTACAGGCCAGCTCTTTTGTGAGGCCCTGGGGCCAGTACCTTCTCCCTGTAAGCCTCAACTAACAGCAGATTCCTCTCACCGCCCCCACCCCTACCTCCCACCAGGACCATCAGGATAATACCTGTGATACCCCAAACCTGGGGCCTGACATTCCTAGGCTCTTTTTTGTTTTGTTTTGATTGTTTTTGTGTTTTGAGATAGTTTCTCTGTGTAACAGTCCTGGCTATCCTGGAACTCACTTTGTAGAACAGGCTGGCCTCAAACTCACAGAGATCTGCCTGCCTCTGCCTCCCAAGTACTGGGATTAAAGGTGCGTACCACCACCACACGGCCACTCCTAGGCTCTTAATAAGTTACATAGCAGTTGGGGGATGTGGTTGCTGCATATGGCCGACATTGGCAAGCCCCTGGACTGTCCTTCCCATCTGGGCAGGTTAAACTAACTCTGCCCCATCTACTGCCTGTGTAAAAACAGTCCCCAGGGAATGATCAAGAGCCATTCCTCTCTGTCCCTACCTGGTACAAATATGGACTTAAGGTTTTTTTGTGTTTTGGGTTTTTTGTTTTGTTTTGTTTGTTTAGATTGAATTTGGGTCAAAGAAACCTTACTAGGGTCCCTTTGGGGCAATGGCGTAGGGGACACAGTTGCTGTTTTATTTTCTGGGTCCCAGTGCTGTGCATAGAAAAGGGAGGCATAATGAATGGAGCAGGGGATTTGGGAGCAGATTTGGGCCAGCTACCTCCCATGTGGCCAAGAAAATATAGGACTTAGGTGCCCAAAAGGGCTTTCTTTTCTTTTCTTTATGTTTGCTTTATTGAGTCATGCTCTCACTAGGTAGCACAGGCTAGCCTCACACCTGTACTTATCCTGACTCCATCCTGAGTACTTGGGTAGCAATCCTGCATCATGCCCAGCTACAGTCTGGGCAGCACTGCCCATCCAAACTGCTCCATTGAATAATGGGAGTACAAGCTCCTCATTCAAAAACAGGGTGTGAAAAAGCTAAACACACTTTAATAGAAAATACTCCTTCCACAGTCTCTCTTGACTCATCATTATAGTGAGATATTCACCTTGTCCACACCTGTGGCATAGACCACGCCCATTAGGGGTGGAGACAGGGCCGGATGTGACCTGGGGGAACTAAGTCTGAGGAGGGGGCTCGGAGAGCTCTCTTGCTTGCAGCATGGGAACAGGAGCACATCGGGAGTCATCCTTGGGACCAGGAACCTGCTGGTGTTCATCTGTCTATGTTGTGAGTTATTTCTCCGTGAATAAACATCTATTCGGCCTATTTGTTTCTCCTGATCCTTATTAAACATCAATATCTGGTGTCAGAAGTATCCATGGGGGCAGTGTGGGGCAGTGTGGACCTTCACATCCCAAGGCCTGGCTCTGATGTGTCTGAATGAGAGCTGGTGACATAGGGTGACTCACTGAGCCAGACCCCCTCGCCTCCTACAGGTTCACCACTTCAAGCAGCTACCATTGGAGGTAGGCAGAGTGCCGCAGCCTCCTGGCCAAGATGTGCTGGCAAGGGGCTCCTCCCACCAAGTTTCCCTTCAGCCGTCTGTCCCTCAAGGGCAAGGGTGATAGATGCCAGGCTGTGGGTTCCCCCTAAACCCAGGCCCTGTTGTAGGTAAGGGCATAACTACATCCTGTGTTGGAAGGCATGGTAGCTGGGGCTTCAGAGAGCACGTTAGAGAGTGGCAGAGAGCCCCTCTGAGAGAGACAGAAGACCACTGATGGAGGTTTTGGGGTTCCAGCAGCTTCATAGAGCTGTGGGACTTCATTCACTTAAAAAAATCATCCGGACTTCAAACCAGTGACCAAAGAACACTAAACCTGGGCTCTGGGACCTTCTCAGTGGAGGCATGATGGGACATCCTTGGGCACACCTGGCCCTCCCTTCTTCTCCAAGCCTGCCCTGTGCCAGTCTTAGCCCTGCCCCCACCATAGACAGTGGTCACCAGTGACGCAGGGTGTGCCATGTCAGGAGGAAGCAGTCCTGAATTTTGAGGGTACCATTGGCTTTAAAATGCTCATTCCTTTCTGAACTCATGGGGTGCTCAGTTCAGGAGAGACAATACACTGTTTTGGGGGGACTTGACACCTTTACTTACCAATGACCCCCTCAAAAAGGAGGGACCTTCCATGGCCCCACTTCTGCTTCTCCTGGAACAGCTTGAAGCAGGCACTGGGACTGGCCAGAAGGAGCCGGAAGCCCTGTGTGTGGAGAGCAGACACAACTGAACTCATGGCCTTATGTGCCGACTGACCCACTTCAGCCCTGGCCCCAGACTCTCAAGGCTGCCCAAACATGCCCACAAGCCCTTACCTTCCTGTCTGGTGCAGGGACAAAACTCAGAAACTCATCCACATGGCCCACAGCCAGCCAGTCCACAAAGAGCTCCACCAGGGGCTGCACCTTCTGGGCACGGAGGAAGTCTCGCACCACCCGGGTGACTCTACGACCTCTGGAGCTGGGATGTGGTTATGAAAAGACACCAGACTAAACACACACTCTAGAAGAAATGGCCAGAATGGCCAGATAACAGCTCTCCCTCGTACCTGACTCCAAAATAGCAGCACAGACCTAGCATTTGGGAGGTTGAGGCAGGAGGATTGAAAGTTCAAGGAAAGCCCCGGATATATAGTGAGTTCCAGGTCAGTCTAAGCTATACAGTAAGACTTTAATCTCAAGACAACATATTACTTTATAAACAGAAAAAGACAGTAAGCGTATTTTAATATTCCACACAGGCTAGTCTGACACAGGTGAGTCCTGAGAACCATGTTCTCCTGGACACTGAACCACCCCACCCCCACTCTTGTCTTGGGTCTCACATAGCTGAGTGGTCCTTCCTAGAGTTAGTTTACACTTGTCTTGCAGCCTCAGTTTGCTGGGCATCCATGGGAGAGGTCAACAAGATCGCCCCAGCAGATCTCACAGGCCTGGTATTTTCTGTTCCTGCGTTTACAACCCATCCTTCTTTGGCCCTCTGGAAAAAATACTTATAGCACGGTCTCGATGTCTTCTCTCTAGCTTGACTCTGGTTTCATCTACTATTTGATCTCATTTGTTCTAGTGGCTTTGCCTAACTGTAGCTATTACTCTTCTTCATCATCGATCTGTGTCACATGTAGAATACATGTGTGTGCATGTGTGCACATGCCTGCATGTAAGTATTTATGCGAGAGCATGTGTGCATGCATATGTGCATGTGTGTGTGCTTGTACAAGAGCATGTGTCTATATGTGTTTGCGTGTGTGTACATGCATGTGGCTGTGTATTATGTGTGTATATATTAAGGTTCCTGTCATCTCAACTCACATTTCACTTAATCCCTCCCTTGATCTCAGAAAAAGACTCGACGTTAATCATTTCCACCATAGTATGAACAGCTGCTACCTCACATGGGCCATATGTTTATTTCACAGAGGACCTCAGTCTAGCCAGAATGTTCTGTGTGTGTGACCCAGCCTCACTGGGCCCCGTATAAAGGAGAGGGCTGGACTTAATGACATCACAGGCCCCTGCTCACTCTGGCTTGTTTGCTGGTACTATCTGACTTCCCAGGGTAAGAACAGGCAGTCTGGAGAGCAGCCCACACCACCAGGGCTTCCCTGTTCTCATCCCCACCACCACCATTACCACCAGAGCCTCTCACCCAGGCAGGTTGCCCCCAATGAGGATCCTCCCCAAGGGGTACTCCTTCCCATTGGCCACCACCGGTGGGCTGACCTCCAGGTTGCCGAAGGAGTCCAGGCCACTCACAGAGCTGTCTCGAGGTTCCCGAGTCACATAGCCAAAATCTAGACCCTGGGAGGGGAAACTGAGTTAGGCAGGGCCAGAGTTCTAGGAAGAGCCTGAACCCATGTGATGGGCTCTGAGCTCCTAAAAGATGGGTGGGAGCAACCTCCCATTCTTAAGGTGGAAATACTGAGTCAGAAATGGGATCTAATCTGGTTTTATGTCACATGTGCAAAGGGGCCAAAGCTAAGATTGGGAAACTCTCTAGGCCCATGGAGGACCTGTTAGGCTGTTGACATTTTTTGCCAGGCACCAGGCAAATGAGGTAGGGCCCAGTCGCTCCGTACCCCAATCAGACAGACCCTAAGGAGACAGGCTCCTTGAACTGCACAGGGCCCTCCTGTCAAGTCCAGTCCATGGGGGCCAGAGACTGGCAGTGAACCTCTGGGCCTCAGTCTTCAATTCTCAGAATGGTGGCCTCTCCTGGTGTCTCACAGGAGACATCCAGACAGCACTGAGGCCCACGGGTGCCTGACACCATGTGACCCAGTGACCTGCTGGGGAGCCAGCGAGCCCAGTCCTTAGGAAACCAAAGGAGTGTCCCCTCAGTGCTCGGGAACCCTGTGTTCACTGTTATTCTATTACAAAAGGCAGTACAGCCAGGTATTAGTGGCACACACCTTTAATCCCAGCACTCAGAAGACACAGGCAGGTGGATCTCTGTGAGTTTGAGGCCAGCCTGGTCTACAGAGTGAGTTCCAGGACAGCTAGAACTGTGTAACACAGAGAAACTGTCTTGAATGCTTACCCCACCAAAACCCACAACAACAACAAAAGCCCAAAAGCCCATAGTAAGACAGGTTCCTTCCCAGCAGGCAGCTGTCACCATGGCAGTGACAGGCTTTCTAAACTCCTGTGAAGCCGGTTCTGCCTTTGAGGAAATAGAGGCTCTGAGAGGGACACAAGTCTGGCAATGTCACACAGTGTGTGGATGACACCAGAGCCCTAAGGCTTTCCCTGTTGTGCAACCCACCTCCCGCTGCTGATCAGCAGATAAAAATGCATAGTACTGGCACACTTGAAGCACAGATAAATGCATAAATTTAGCCCATAGTAGGTGTGGGTTAGGCTTATACCAAAGTGGATTGCCTCTTTACAAATGTCACGGACCCTCTCTCATATAGTAGCCAGCCAGCTGTTGCTCCTACAGAACAAGGTTCTGGGTGCTACTCCCTGTATTCCTGGGTGTCCCTGGGGCTGTGTCATCTCAGTCGCTAGGGCTGTATTGCCCCTCTCCTTACCCCCACTCACCAGGATCCGTTTGTATGGGAAGCCCTGCAGTTCCCCATTCCTCGGGGAATCAAAGACCACGGGCATGGTCTTGTGTGGTGCCTGCACGTAGCCCAGCTCCATCTCATCCTGTAGATGGGGAGAGAGACCATAGCTGTGTCCCCAAGTGCTGGTCACTGAGCTCTTGGGGAGGGTGGCTCCTAGGTGTGGGTCATTCTCGGCTCTTCAAGGTGGGGGAGCCAGCTAAGAGAAGGGGATGGGGGCTTGGTTGCTTATGGGAGTCATGTGGGAATAAAGGAGAACACAGGTGTTGGGGTGTGCCTGTGCTGGGGCAGGACAGGGTGGGTATCCAGAGAGGTGCAGGATGGCCCAAGTTCAGCACAGAGGTCACCCACTGAGCGTGCACCCACTCCTATGGCCTCTATGCTTGGTCATGAAGGGCTGGCAGCAGTGCTGAGGGACCTAAGACAGGGGCATCCCCTCCTCAGAGCTCTTAAGGAAATGATGGCCCAGAACCCACAATGGCACAGCCAGTGAATGGCCTGCTGTGTGCCAGGCCCTGAGCTCTTTATGAAAACAAACTCTATTAATCTCCACGAGCCATCCATAGAAGACATTGCTACCACTCTTACGATACGTGAGGGCAGAGAGGGACAGAGAAGGCTAGCTGTTCGTTCAAGGGCACACAGCCTGCCAATGACAAGAACCTAAACTCCAGGTGTCTCACTCCAGGATCCTAACCTCTAGCTGAATTGGAAACCCTGTAGCTTGGCATTCAAGGCTTTTCACCTCAGCACTTGCCCCTGGCCGAGGGAGCAAAAGAACTTCAGCCTCCTGCCTCCTGCCTCGGGGCCTTGGCACATGCTGGTCCTCTGCCAGGACATCCCGATCCCATCCCACCTGATGACTGGAAGTCCAAGTCCAAGCCTTTGTCAGCACAGTGGCTGGGCATTCATTGCATGAGCTCATCAGCAAACACCCAGGTGTGATTACAAGAGGCCAGAGAAGATGAAGTGAGAGGGATTGAGGCTATGCAGGGCCTGTGGGGGAAGCGCCTGGGGAATAGCAGTGAATTTTCTCCACTTTCCCAGCCTGTGGGATCTAGTCCAGCTCACACAGAGGCCCCTCCCTCCTGGGCTTTTCCTTGGAGGATCCTCCCCAGGACTCTCCACCCGAAGCCCCACCCCTCCCACCCCCTCATCCCTCCCATCCCTTGCATTCCATCCATTTTGCCAGCAGAAACAGTGAGGCTTCCTTCCCTCTGGCACTCTGGTACCCCCTTATACCCTGGACTCCAGGGGTTCTGAAATAGTCATTCTCCACAGTGGGGCTTTGCAGCCCTGTGCCGAAGACACGTTGGACCAGACTGTTCCATGTGGGACTCAACTTGGCCCTGGAGTTTTAGCGACACTATGGGACTCTAGGTGCTAAAGGCAGTCCCTCTCCCTACCCTGTGTGACAACCACAATGTCTCCAGATGCTACCTAATGTCCTCTTGAGGGACAAACTGCCTCTCAGCTCAGCTTCACAGGGCTGGGAGTGTGTGGCCTCTGCCACCTTACCTAGAGTCTTGCCTGTCTGAGAAATTTTGGAATGAGGACTCCACGTTTGGAGTCAGGGAGCTCTGGATCCTCGTGGGTATTTCCTTGCAGGATGCTATCCCAGCGAGGCTGCCCGTGTCTCTGCTTACCTGGATCCAACGGTCATTGCGATTCTCTGCCTGAGGACAGATGGTGAGTTTGCAACCTGCCTTCCTGGCCAGCTCCTCCACGGCCTCCACAAAACACATGTTATTCCTCACCCTGTGGTGGAAAGGGGAACTCAGAGCTGGGGCCCAGAAACAGAGCCGACTCCAAGGCTAGGACTCCACCCAGACTCACCTGCAAACGTACACCTCCAGGGGCGGCAGGGTGCTGGGTGTCATGATCCAGGGTGCCACCCGGAACACCACAGTGTCCGTGAAGATTGGGGTCTCGGAGAAATCCTTCACGGGAGGACGGAGACAAAGAGTGTTGGACTTAAGAGTGCAGCAGCTGGACAAGACTTCGGATTCTCTGAAGCCCTCCCCTAGGTCCTCAAGAAATCCCCCCGGAAGAGTGTTTGCCTAGCATCGGAGTCCTGGGATCTGTCCCTACCACTGCATAAAAGGAGAGTGGTAGTGCATGCCTCAAATCCTAGTACTCAGGAGGTGAAGACAGGAGGGTTAGAAGTTCAAGGTCATCCTTGGTTACATAATGAGCTTAAGACTAAGCTGAGCTACAAGAGACCCAGTCTCAAAACAAACATTCCTTGGCTTCTCTAAAGGATGGAGATGCCCAGTAGGGTTTTGAGGGAGTGTGAGGCCTTTAATTCCTGCGATGCTCACATCTGCCAGGAACATTTGTCCCACCCTCTGCAGAGACACCCTTACCTCATTGGAGTCATCCAGCAGGGTGACATGGAAGGAGATGAGCCCTGGGAAGCCTGCATCAGGGAAGGAGAGGCCCTCCACAAAGAAGCGTTCCTCATCACCGTTGAGGCGGGGTACCTCGTAGGACATCCTGTCTGGGCCCAGAACACACTTGTAGGCCTCACAGGAATCCTCTGGACCTATGACAAGAGGAGTGGCTGTGACTCTTAGACTGCTTAGGGAATGTGAAGGTCTCAGGAGAACTGAGCAGTCTCTTCCAGGTGCAAGGCAAACAGCCCTCCAAAGGGCCCTTCCTCTCCAATCTCTGGCGAAGGAGAAAAGAAGGCATAGCCCCATGGGCATGGTGGGGAAGGACACTCTTTTCTAAGAGACAAAGTAATGTTCCTAACCCAGCATGCTGCCTCTCTTCATCTTTCCTACAAGAGTATGTAGACAGGGGCTGGAGAGACAGCTCAATGGTTACAAGTGCTTGCTGCTCTTGTAAAGGACTCAGTTCCCTGCACCCATGTTGGAAAGCTCACAACCACCTGTTACTCCAGTTCCAGGGTACCTGATTTCCTCTCCTGGCCCCTGTGATCACCTGCACATGTGTGTGATACCCTCCCCCCATGTACATAAATAAAAATAAATCTAAAAATATATGGGTGCAAATTGCATTAAGAAGCTCCACTTCAACCAGGTGGTGGTGCACACCTTTACTCTCAGTGCTCGGGAGGCAGAGGCAGGGAGATCTCGAGTTTGATGGGGCCAGCCTGGTCTACAGATCCAATTCCAGGACAGTGAGGGCTACACAGAGAAATCCTGTCTCTACAACCAACAAAACAAAACAAAAAACAAACAAGAAAACAAACCCTCTTGAGGTGTCTGGCAGAGAAGCCCATTCTATAGGCTGCAAGGATGATGGCTCAATAGACAAAGTGCTTGATGTACAAGCATGGGGACCCACCCAAGAGCTATGCTTAGAACTCATGCTAAAAAAGCTGTCGAGGGACTCTGATTCAAACACAAAACAAGGCAGTACCTGAGGAACAATTATCTGAGGTTGTCCTCTGGGCTCCTACTACATGCCACACACAAAATTAAAAAGAAATAAGTAGCTCACAGGTCTGATTACTCTGATACCAGGGCATTGCCGCCGGCTGGAACCTGAGCTGAGATGCACATCTACTCAGAGCAGGGAGGCAGAAAAGGTTGGATGGGTACCCAATATGTACTTACCATAGACGTGGAAGACCCGTGCCCTTTCTGCATCATAGCTGGAGGTGTGGAGGATAAGTTTGTGGTCGTCAAAGAGGGCTTCAGGTCCCTGGGTCCGTAGGACCATGATGGACATGTCTTCCAGATCTGTGAAGCCAGACAGAGGGAGTTGACTGACAACTGCCCTGCTCAACTTCAGAGCCCCTCCTAAGGGCAGTAAGTGCACTGGGTCTCAAGGGCTGGGGATCCCAGTATCAGCTCAGGGAGACATTAGAATCCATTGGTGTGATGGAGAGGGGTATATGTATACATGTGACACTGCCCTGCTCCATGTCCTCTCTGCAGCCCACACATCCTGTATGCCTAAAGCAGAGTTGAAGGTCACTTAGGCATCTTACTGGGAAAGCCACACTCCTTTCCATCTCCAGGGGATGCCCACTTTAGAAGGCAGCTCCTATGAGTATAATGCAGGGCCTCATTCCAACACAGGTCAGAGATCCCGTGGGAAGGGGTCTGGATGTGGGGTTGGCAGCTCCCACAGGCTAGATGTGCAATTTGGAGGACTCCCCTGCTCTAACAGCCTCAGCCCTCTCCTCTCTTAACTGGGGTGGACACTCACCCCCTTGGATGATTAAAGAAAGATCTGGGGGAAGGGCCTTGCACACCGTAGATACTCAATGCCAGCAGCCCCTCTCTTCTGCAGGAAGAGAAGGCTGGGTGCCCCAGCATCAGTACCACAAGGACTGGGGACTAGAAAGAGGCAGCCTGGGCTGGGTTCTAAAGACTTTCTGAACTCTAACCTGCCCCTGCTCAACTTCAGAGCCCCTCCTAAGGGCAGGAACCCCTGTGGGGTAACTGCGGAGGGACCCTGGATCCCAGAGACTGGGCTGCCCCAGCACACTCACCTTGCAGGCAGCTCACATGGTGGTCACAGTTATCTTGGGCATCACAGCCCACATCATCCCGATCACAGTTCACCAGCAAGATGGCTCCATACCCGTCAGGGCCCCACACCCACTGTCCCTGCCAATGAGAAAACACTGCTGGCAACAGGGGCTCCAGCCAGACCCAGGACAGGCCTTCCGGGCCAGCCTCCTGAGCCTTTATCCTACCCTGTGAGAAGTCCACTTTTACTGAAGCAGCCCCTGCTCTAGAAACATCACCAAGTCCAGTCCACAAGGCTATTCATCATGGCTGGCTGTGAGGTGCCCCGCTGGCTGTGAGCCTCTTTCTTTATGGATAACTTCTTGATTTCCCTCCCATCCCTCCAGTTCAAGCCTTGTTCCGGCTAATGGAATCCCTTTCAAACCCAGCTTAAGTATTCCCTCTGGGAAATCCTCCTTACCCAGCTCAGGCATTCCTTCCTAGAAGTCCTCCTTGCCCCTCTGGCCACTGTGGCCTCTTATAAATCCCCACTGCATCAGCACTACCAAGACAACATCAGAGAACTTTAATAGTGTCTTGTTCAGTAGGACTAATCTGCTCAGTGCCTGTTTTTGTCAATAAAGTTTTATCAGAACACAGTCCCATGATTACTTTATCCATTAACTGCCTGTTTCAAAATAGCACAGGTCACAAGGTCTAAAGCATTTATAATCTAGCTTCTATTTTTTTATTTTGGCTTTTTGAGATAAGTGTTTCTCTGTGTACCCCTGGCTGTCCTGGAACTCTTTCTGTAGACCAGGCTGGTCTCTAACTCAGAGATCCATCTGCCTTTGCCACTGAATGCTGGGGTCAAAGGTGTGTGCACCACCTCCTGACAAGGCTTTTATTTTCTTTCTGAAAGTTTCATAACCCTTGACCTACTTTATAAACTGAGAACTTTCTTCTCATCAATCAAGGATAGCCCAGGTCCAGGGACCCACAATTTGGTCACATTTGCCGATGACTCCAACCATGCCTGGTCCCTGTCTGGCTACCTCAACCTCAAGTCAACTGGGAGGAAGGGGACATTCATATGACCTCGCCCTCTGACCTTCAGCACAGGAACTCCACACCTGCTGCCTCTGTCTGAGGCTCAATCAGAAGCCTACCTTATCCACGAAGCTCCTGTCCCGTCGGCCCTCACAATTCATGTCACACTCCAGGGTGATGTCTGTTGGGAGGCAGCAGCAGGTGAATTCCCACGATAGACCATGGCGTCCATCGCAGTCACCTGGGGCCAGGTCGAGGGGTGCCATCCCCCAGGAGACACCCACAGGTTGGGGCCCTGGAGCTTCCCATCCTTGGGTAAGAGGAGGGGCTTTGGGGAGGAAGGAATGGACTAAAGGAAGCTTTCCCAAAGGTAACATGCTCTGAAGCCCCAGAGCCCTTGTGTAGGCACAGCAGCATCGAGCCCAGGTGGCTGGAGACCTACATGAAGCTGTCTCAGCTCCTTGGGAGTTTGGTGTCATAAGGACACAGGTGTGAAGGTGGGCTTGGCCACCTCAGTGCAGTCTGGGAAATGCTGCCTTGGCATTTTCTCTCCCACCCCAGGCCATTTGCACAGTTTTCCTCTCCGGAGACCAGAGGGCTCTTAAAGCTAATAGTGCAGTGCTCACACCGCTAATAGTGCAGTGCACACAATACTTAAGGGCCTATAAAATCCATTTAGTGCTCAAAGGGGGAGGGAGGCAGGGGGAAGAGAGAGAGAGAGATTTTATTCACATCAATCACAAGAATGGTGGGACCTCACCAACGTGGCGTGGGTGGAAGGAAGAAAAGATGCAGAGGGATTCCAGCTGCAGAAATCTGACAGACTACATGCCTTGCTACATGTGCTTGTTTATAAACCATATAGAAGTTAAAGGGAACAGAGCAGAAAACAGTGTGAGGGTCACTGGGTGGGGTGGCTCTGGGGGCTGACCATGTTCCACCCTGGGTCCAGTGATTGCTATGTCAAGTACGTGGTTAGTAACTGTTCATTTAATGTGCACAGCTGGGCATGTGCAATGATTTTTGTTTTTGAGGCAGGGTCTCACTATGTAGCCCTAGCTGGCCTAGAACTAGCTATGTAGATCAGGATGGCTTGGAACTGGCAGATAGCCTCCTGCCTCTGCCTCCCAGTGGTGGGGTTAAATGCTTGGGCTATCATATCTGGCTTCCACTTTAATAATTACTTTAAAAGATTTATTTATTTTTTATGTATACAGTGTTCTGCCTGCATGTATCTCTGCACACCAGAAGAGGGTGCCAAATCTCATTACAGATGTTTGTGAGCCCCACATGATTGTTGGGAGTTGAACTCAGGACCTCTGAAAGAGCAATCAGTCCTCTTAACCTCTGAGCCATCTCCCCAGCCCCTCTGTTTTACCTGTGAAGGCAGGGTCTCTTCATGAACCTGGAGCTTAACGATTCAGATAGCCTGGTTAACCAGCAAGACTCTAGGGTTTTCCTATTTACCCCTCCCAGTGCTGGGATTACAACACAGGCCACCATGGTCTGCTTTTATCTGGGTGCTGGGTATTCGAACTCAGGTCCTCATGTTTGCTCAGTAAGCACTTTACCTATCATCTCTAGGTCCTTCATTCCCTGTGTTTGAATTTTCTAATGTGCCCTTTCTTTTTCCATTTAAAAAATTAAAAAACCAAAACCAACCAACCAAACAAACAAAAAAACCAGTTGGTGTGTCTGTGTGTTCACACTTGTGTCCCTGGGACCAAACCCAAGTGTTTGCAAAAGTTGAAGGGTATTCTACTATAGAGCTTCATGCCCAGCTCCTAACTGCTTCTTTTAAAAGGAAGTTTATCCACAGTTGTCACAGGCTCACCGGCCACCTCCTTAGCCCCGCTCGCTTACCCACACAGGTGAGGTAGAGTACCGCATAGGCCAAGGGCAACTGCTCGTGGCTGGAGTGGTAGGCTATCTGAACCTGCAGAGAGACATGCTCAGTGTCACATATATGGCATATGGACAGGCCCATGGGACCTGGTGGGCAGGGCCAGGACCCTCAGCCACCTCTGTCCTTGTGCCAGCTCCCCTTTAAGCTCCTCAGAGTCATTTATTCCTATCCCTTGACACATCTGTAAAGTGGGCACTGTTTACCCTGGGTTCTGGTGACCTGGGTTCAAGTCCTACCAACAAGTACCTGGACTTGAGCCCAGCATCTCCTGGTGAAGGTCAGATGCCTGTCTGAGCTGCCTCAGTTTCCCCCACTTTTCCTGACCAGAACTAGAGATCCTCTGAGGGTGGGACCTGCACGGCCTCTGCTTTGCAGGTAAGAAATCTCAAGAGCCCTACATCTGACCTGCCCACATTCGCCACTCGCTGGCCACAGAAGCACACTCCTATGGACTCTGCCAGGTAGCCTGGTCTCGGATCTCACACTTGGCCATCATGACTCTCCTGAGATAGTTTCTGACCTTCTCCGGGTCTTAGTTTGCTCAGCCATAAAGTGGGGGATAATGATGGTTTCTACCCTGTAGGATGGGTTGCAGCCAGGATTAAAGAGGCACAGCAGGTGGAGTTCATCACAGCTGGACCAGGCTCAGCTCCCAGCCTGGTGGCCATGTTGGAAAGCTGGCGGTGGCAGCTCTGTCACTGATCCTGGGGCATGTCCTGCAGAAACCTGCCATGTCACCCTGGCTCTGAAATTCTTCTTCATCTGAGCCATGGTGTCAGGACCCCGTGGAGCCCACCTACCCCTAAAATTCTTCACCAGGATTTCATAGGTAGAGGAGGAAAGACGTGCCTTCCTCAGTCTTACTGACCCGTGAGCCCCAGAGCTCAGGTTGGGGAGGTACCCACACAGCCTCAACTTGTAAAGCACCAGGTGAGGCTTCCACAGCCTGGTAGGTCCTGTTGCCCAGCCTCAGGGACTCTGTGATCCCTCACAAACTCAGCTACTCACTGGGACTTATGACTTTGGATAAACCACACCCCTTCTCAGACTCAATTTCTTCCTCTGAAAAATGGGTTCACTGAGCTTACGACTGGAGCCAGATTCAGAAGGAAGATGAGAAGAATAGGCAGGGAGGGAGCCAGATGTGTGGGAATCCTTCTGTTCCCTAGCTGGGTCAGCCTTCTGACAGTTTCTTGGTGCCCCACATAGGGGAGAGGGCCAGCTTATGATATATGGGCTACCTGGGGTTTAGTAATGGTCAATGCTCCTTAAAGGGCTAGCTCCCCTAAACATTGCCCTTGATGCAGGAATGTCTCCCTCATGACAGGTCCTGGACCCCATCAGTCCTTCAGTGGAATATTGCGTCACTGCTCAAAGGTCAGTTTCTCCTATGCTTTCAATCTCTCCTACATTTTAAATGGGTACAGGAAGAGGGTGGCTGGGAAGAAGGTGAGGCCCATCAGGGAGCTGTCAGCTCCTAGGTATCAGTTTCCTTCCCCACCCAAGCCCCTCCCTAAAGATGGGGAAACTGAGGCTCATTACAGCAGGACTATGTTAACTCCTCCCCTCACGGGGGCTGATTAAGCAGGAGAAGACACTCAGGGTCTGTCCCCACCCACCCTGGGAGCCGGACTGCAGCAGCCCACCCTACAGATTGAAACACTGAGGTCTGAGGACATGCAGCCTGGACTTATAAGTTGCAGAATTGAGACTCACACCCAGCAGTGTGGCCCTCAATCAGAGTGCTCCCCCATGGAGCTGTAGCACTCTGCAGAAAGATGGGGTGCAGGGCCAGGGCTGAGCTCACATGACTGTCGTTGAGGTGATTGCTAGGGGAGTTCATGACCACGATGATTTCCAGTCCCTCGTTGAAACACCACCGCCTGGTGTCAGCTCGCTCTCGGCTCCTCTCGATGCTGGGGGACACGTAGATGTCCACACCGGGTGTCCCATAGACCTCAAACATGGCTGTGCCCTCGGGAACCGACCTGAGTAGAGCAGAGGCACCATGGGCAATGTGAGCGACACTTACTTAGAAATATGAGCTCAAGCCTTGTGCCTTCCTCTAGGAAGCCTTCCCCAACTGCCGAGGCAGCTTACAGCAACGCTGGGAGGCAGAGCCCAGGTAGGTGCCACACAAACTCAGCCTAAGTGCTGAGATCCAATATCTTACCACCATCCAGCTCATTTGGTGCTGGTGATCACACACACACACACACACACACACACACACACACACACACACACAGCAGAAAGACTCAGAGAGATGGATGAGTGAGAAAGACGGACATAGGCTGCACAGTGGCGCACACCTTTAATCCTAGCACTTAGGAAGCAGAGACAGGTGGATCTCTATGAGTTCAAGGGCAGCCTGATCAACAGAGCTAGTTCCAGGACAGCTGGGGCTACAATGAGACCCTATCTCAAAAAACAAAACAGCAAAGAAAGAAAGAAAGAAAGAAACAAAGAAAGAAAAAAAGAGGCAGACTCAGCTGGCTTCCAGTAACCCAGGAAGCTGGTCAGGTTTCTCCAGCAGGCCCACCGCCATGCTTGGTCCTGGATCCGACATGGAGGGCCAAGGCGCCTTGACACCTTCCTGGTGTGAAGCCCTTTGTCCCAAATGTCCCAGTCACCTCAGCTCAGCACCCCCAGGCTCTTCCCTAGGCCGCCCCAATGAGTTTCTGGGGGTCCCTAGGGAAGCTGGAGACAGACAGCAATGTCCAGGAGGTACGAACAAATGTGGTGGCTGCAGCCACTGGCACACAGTGCAGCCTCTGTATAGCCAAGGGCTCAGTGATGGCAAGGCCACAATCAGCAGTCAGGTGGCGGCTATCTAGCCGGGTCCAATTTCAGCCAGGTGACCTTGACTCAGTCCCCTAGAGCGTGGGCTAATGACACACACTTGGCCAGTCTCTTGGGAAATCAGGAGGCTCAAGTGTATTAAAAGCCACGAGAGTCTTAGAACACCGCTGGCCAGAATAAGGAAGGTGCTATTAAGATGAATTATGGTGCAGGCTGCAGGAGGAGGGAGACAGCTCTGATACCAATCTGGGGGGATTGAGATGTGTCTGAAGAAAAGGGGGTTTCATTCAGGAGCCTTAGGAGGTCAATGTTAGCCGGGGGCAGGTTGATTCCCGTTTAACCCATAGGGAGAGTAAAACCGGCGATGGTTCTTGAGAGGGGTGGTGTGGCAAGGTGATTGAACCAGTGGTCCCTGCAGTCAGGAAGCCCAGGTTCAAATCCCAGACCACTGCTCACACCCGGAGGGTATGACACAGCCTCCTAGACAGCTCACTCTAGCCCGTTCAGATGACAAGCAGACGGAAGGTGTGTATGTGGCTGTAAAGCACCGAGAATGAAAGCTGTAACTGTTGGTTTTCTGTCAACTTAGCGGCTGCACCTGAATCTACCGATGTTTTAACTACTGTCTGTGCCCTGCAGCCCCGCAGTCAGTGTCCCGATGCTCAGGAGGCCATCACATGTAGGTTTTAACTAGGTCTCTATCGTTCTATTTATCAATAGAGACTCCAGAGTCAGACTCCGGAGTCCCATCTTCTCCAAGGCCAATTCTTGTCAACTAGTGGCTGGTTCCATCCCCTGATTCGAGGTTAATTTTATTAACACAGTCTCTAAGTTCCACAGTGGCATCAAATATCCCTCAACACATAACCTTATTTTACTGCTAGGGGCAGTCAGAAGGTAAGACTCCAGAGCCCCATCCAGGGCTGATGCCCCAACATGGAAGCTGCGTGTTGGGATGGCCGAGGTGGCTACTGCAGGAAAACCTGGGCCGGGGCAGCAGATCTCTGTTTCCTGGAAGTTAGGAAGTGCCCAGAACCTCTCTTGGGCAAGACTCTTCCTGGGGCCAGGCCACTGTGACAGTCAGCAAGGCAAATCCCTCACCCAACCTTCTAGATGGCTCTAGGCCATCTAACCTGACTGAGCCTGTTCATAGCCCTCCTGGGTAGCCAGAGTGCACAGTGGCTATTCACAAAGTAAGGTGACCGGCCTTTCAGGAACCAAGGCATCAATAAATAAATGAGGTAATATATATATATTTAAAAACTGGACAGTTCTTGAAAACAGGGACAGCTCATTTATTCTACAAGTGGTACCTGGCCATCAAGTCCTTCTGATGGCTACTATGCCTAAGCCTCATGGCAAAGGGACTGCTTCAAAATGCTAGCCCTAAGTCGGGCCTACCCTGACATGGGAGCCCTCGGCCAGCTCTTCTTCTGTACCCTCGTCTGCCTGCCCACCATGAAGATGACACAGGAGACTTTGGTCAATGAAGCTGCCCTAGGATGATATGCACACTATCATCTCACTTTGGGGAAACCGAGGCTCAGGGGTGGCTTGTCCAAAGGCAAGCAGTTGCTAACTGACAACTCCATGTCCTGTGTCTTAGTTGTCCTGTCCTCACTCCCAGGTGAAGCTGACCTGATGCCTCCCTCTTGGGCTAAGGCTCTGGTCTCCCAGACAGAACTGCTGATGAGAGAGAGGTTCCGGTGGTTAAAACAGAAAACAGAAAAATAAAAACAAAAGACAAGGTCGCCTCAGTGCTGGCCCATGGGGACAGAGACCACAGTCTAAATAACACAGGCTCTGAGTGACAGTTTCAATTAACAAGGACCCCCAAGTCCCCCTATCGTGCCAGCTTTGCTCACAGACTAGGCCCAGGAAACTCTGGACACGTCTGACCCCACATCCCACCCACAGTGGTGGCCCAAAGACTGAGTGGCCCTGAGACCCCTGACTCAGCTCCTTGCTGGGTGCTCAGAGCTCCTTCATCAGAAGCCCCATGTGGACAAAGGAACCTGCCCTGTCCAGGAGGCTCTGAGGCCTCAGAGCAGAGCTCAAAAGGAACTTTACTTCTTATTCTTTTAAATATATATATATATATATATATTATAGTAATATAAGGGGGACCAGCTTTTTTGTTTGTTTTTTAAGAGACCCAAAGTGCAATTGGGGGTGGGAAGGTGCTGGTGATGAAGCTCAGAACCTCAGACACCCTAAGTATGAGCTTTCCCACCACCAGATGAGTTAGCCTAGTCAACACTTTGGGTTTTTCTTCTTCTTCTTCTTTTTGAATAGGGTTTCAGTTTTTGACAGGGTCTCGTGTAGGTCAGGCTGGTCTTGAATTTATGGAGCCAAGGATGACCTTGAACTTTTGAATCTCTTGCCTCTACCTCCAAAGTGCTGGGATTACAGTCATATGCTACCACATATGGCACTAGGAATGAAAGGCATGGCCTTGTACGTGCTAAGTAAGCCTTCTATAGCTTCAATCAACTGAGCACCGCTGGCCCCCGCAGTGCTTTGAAAAGTCCCCTGTGACTCAAAGATGCAGGTGGCATAGAGACACTCCACTGTGGAGCGGGTGCCGCCTCGTCGCCTTGCCAGGTGTGGTCGCTTAAGAGATACTTGCTCTTAGAGAACAGCTTCCCTGTGGGTGCCCGGGGCAGCTTCCTGTCGATGGAGATCTCCCTAGTGGATCTCAGTCATGACCTCCCCACCCTCTGGCTCTCACAAGTGCTGATTCTGGGGCTCACTCCAAGGTGACCGAGATCTACCTGAAGGTCAAGGCACCTGGACTGGTTCAAGAGAGGCCAAGAAACATGCACCCGACTCTGTCTGAATATATGTAGGGCCCTGAGGTCCCACCAGCCCCATAGGACCTTGGGAACTGGGTCACCATCAGCAGTCGCCACAGGCTGTTTGGGTCTCAAGGCCTGGTTCTGTCTTAGCTCATTCTCTATACCCAGGTGAGTAAGTCTTACACCCACCAGGCCTCACTTTTCCTATTCAGAAGAAGGGGGTAGGTGAGCCCCAGAGGCCACCACTGGGCCAGTCTGGGGACTGCTTTCCATACTCATATATGACATGTCACAAAGATGACAGCTTCCCAGACAAGGCAGCCCCATGAGCAGCCCCAGGGGACAGACACTTAGAAGTGAGTCACGTGGTAGGGGAATGGCTGATGGTTGCTTTTAGCCTGTCTTCTTGCCTCATTACGGCATGTGACTGTGGCCCTGGGTAAGCCCACTTACCTGTTCCAGAACTTCCTTCTTCCCAGTGTGAACCAAACTTTCTTTCTCTGCCTCCAAGGCTGAAGTCTCAGCCTTACACCTCTGCGGGCTCTGAACTCTATATTCTGTTCACCATCTATACCCTCCTCCCAGTGTCTCTTTGAAGGAAGGACCCGACAGTTCTGATGGCCTTCTGCCTCTCTACCAACTGGCTATGTGACCTTTGGGAGGTTAGTTGACCTCTCTGGGTCTTGCTTTCCTCGCCTGTGCAGTGGTGAGAACAGCCTGTTACACCCTTTGGCTGTGTGGTAAGCTTGATAGGTTGGTGAAGGCCACTAAAAGCCTTGTACCTGCTCAGGTCACTGTCCCACCACTCTGTAGAGCTAGAAGCAGAGTCCACAGGGAAAGAGTTTCCCAGGATGAGGTGGCTGGAAGGTGCCAAAGCAAGGATTGAGCCACCACCCTGCAGCTCCCAGTTTGCAGGCTCCAGGAAGAGCCCTTCAAGATGTCCCGGCTCACTCACCCCTCCAAGATAAGTCTGCAGCCCTCACTGGACAGCAGCGTGGCCTATGCTAGAACTCCACCAACAGGCAGGAACAGTCTTCCACTTCTGAGAGTCCCTAGGGTTGGGCAGTCACTACTGCTTAAAGACCACGCTGAGTGTGTGCATAAATGACTGAGGCACTCCATTTCCATCAGGGAATTGACCCCAAAGCCCTGCCACCACCCACGGCTGTCCCATCCCCAGTCTTCTAGGTGAATCCCCACTATTGCCATTATCACTCAAGTCACTCACCCCCTATCAGCTGTCTTCCTCTCACCCAGTCCATCCCCCATCCTCAGAGGGGAGGAGGAGCCATGCCCAGCTCCCTGGACAGGTCAAACTGGAGATAAATCTACTCACTGCAGCTGGGCAGTGAGTCACCCCCCATGGGCACGGAGCCCTGGAGCAGGCTGTGACACAACACAGCATCCTGCCCTCCCTGGTTCTGTGGAGGCCATAGACCGCCCTCTACACATCCCACAGCCCCCCCCCCCACCTTCAGCCAGGTTTCAGCTCCTCGTATGAAGTTCATCCAGATTTGGTTATTTCCTGTTACTGGCAACTCACTCCCTATCCTCCGCACCTGAGACCTCTTTGCTGCCAACCTAGTTCACTCCACTTTTTAAATTCTTAGTTCTGGACACTTGTTCTCAAAGGGTATGGAACTTTGGCTCCTGGGGCATATCTGATGATATCTAGAGACATTTTTATCTGAGCCAGGAGGGGTGGGAACACCATCGGTCGCTGGTAAACGGAGGCCAAGGATGACCCTCGCGGTATTACAGTGAGTGGCATCATCTCACAAGGGCTTCTGGTGTCTTGGCACTGAAGCCAAGTCCAAGACGGGGACAAGGAGGTCTGAGAGATGGTACCCTAATCCCAGCATCCTTGGAATCTGTCCTTAGCCGAGCCTCAGAGCCGGGACTCCAGAGCCTAAGAAGCCAGGTTGGCTCCTATACTCCCTACCTAGGCTACTCTGGAATGTAAAGGCTCAGCCTGGAGAGTAAAGGCTACCCTGGAATGTAAAGGCTCAGCCTGGCACGTCGCAGGCATAGTGCGTAGGTGGCGAATGGCTGCTGAGGGTGGGCCTGAAGCCCCAGCGTTCCCATGGCTGAGTGGCTGGATGTGAAGTCCTCAGTAAGTCTGCAGTGGGTTTAAAGTCCAGCCTTGCCTCCTGGTGACTGTGTGACCTGGGCTAATGGCTCTGCCCTCTCTGGGCCTTCACTAGCACTTTGTGACCAACACCACAGAGCTCTTGTCACAGTGGCATTTGAGAAGTCTGACCAGCTCTGGGGAGAGTGCAACACCTTGAGTGCTATGTAAGTGGCCTTTTAGGAAATGACTTAATTCTCCCATGCCCGTAAGCTGAGAGGCTGCAGGACAGGGGACGCATCCCTTCCTTTCCTTGAGGGCCTCTCCTGAGCACCCCAAAGAAAGAAAAGAGCCCATGGCCCCAGATCCCTCTAAGTCCCTGGTTGGAGCTCAGTTATGCTTTCTTACCTCCCTGGTTCAAAAACCCTGCTGGGAGCCTAGCAGACAACAGCGAAGACCCTAGCGTCCCCCCGTGGGCAGGTATTCTGCGCCTAAACCTGGGGACTAGGCAGCCACGCCCTGAGGAATACCGGCACAGACCTTAGGGACTCTGCAGCAGAACCCCAGACCCTCCAGGGCCAACAACTCTTACCCATAAATGTCCACGATGGTCTCAACACCTGCCACACACACAGCGCTGGTGGGGTGTTCCAGGGACACACGCACAATCCTCTGCAGGGACATACTGGCCTAGGATGGGGGCTTTGGCCACCAAACCCAGCACTAGCCAGAGGCCCCCCCAGGATGTGGTTTAAATGTACCCAGCCCCACCCCTCCAGCCCAGGATGCAAGCTCATTGGCTTCAGTCCTAGAAGCCCAGCCTCTTCTCAGAGGCCAAAGAGCCAACCCCCTCTTCAGGATTGGCTGGACGGGCTCTGACATTTGCATATGAACCTGTGGCTCCCACCCCAAGGCACCCAGAGAGTTAATTTCTAGGTGGAAAGAATGCAAGTCCCCACAGGCACTGGGCCAGCACGTCTGGGATGGGTGGGGGAGGGGGAGGGCATTTGGGCTTTACCCTGGCCCTCCTGCCCTCCTGCCCGCCTTCCTCTACACTACCGGAAGGGCTGCTGAGAATGCAGGGTTCCCAGGCCTGTTCCAACCAGGTGCAGGCAACCGGATATTGATATGTTTACGGAGGTGGCTGCACACATGTTTGCCACACGTATGTGTGGAGGCAGATGATATGTTCTCTCCTCCTGCTGTGTGTACTCTAGGGTAGAACTCAGGTTGTTAGGGTTAGTGACAAGCACTTTTACCCATCAGGCCATCATGTTGGTTGGTCTTAATTAAAAGCCTGAGTTGTAAGACTGGACTGGGCTTCCTCCCTGCCTTGGGGGCTTCCTGGTGGAGCCTCACCTTTTCCCTGTGAGCAATGGCAGCCATGAGGCGGAAGGAGTCAATGTCGGGCAGATCTAACTTGGGCCTGTGCTCATTCTCTTGACTGCTGTTGCTACTGCTGTAGGAGGTCAAAACCTTCCAAGGGGGTAAATGATGCAGAAGTGAACGTCTGTCATGCTGAGTCATTAGGAGCCAAAAACGCCAGAGTAGGAGGCCCGTTTGTTGGGGAAACTGAGGCCAAGAGGTGTCTGGAATATCAAGAGCAAGCACTCTGGCAAGAGGACTCTTGGGCTTGTTTGGATCAGGCTGTATAAGTACTGATGAGGTTGCATCTCTTCTTCTGCGGGCTCAGTTTCCTCATGTGTAGAAAATGCGGCCAGTCACCTGCTCTGGCAGAGATAATGGCTGCAGAGGCTCAGAAGTGCTGAACACAGGCCCTCCCTCCTCCAGGGCAGGGCAGGGCAGGGACCAGGATCCATCTCCCAGGGTCCTCCATTTGCAACCGTCACAGGGTGACATTTGGAGCTTATGACTGTCCCTCTGTGCTAGTTCAGGGTCTGGGAAGGGCATTCCCTAAAGTAGCCAGGTCCCAAGGATGTCTTCACCAGAATTATAAAGAAAGTCCCAGACAGCCTCCCTAACTGCGGGAAATGGCTGGAAAAAGTGAGGAACTCCCCTCCAAGGATGCTGCCACATTGTGCTGGGGACATGATAAGTCTCATGCCCAGAGTCTATAGCTTCCTTTGAAAGTAAATCCCTGCTGTCAAATCTATCTAGCAGGTACCAGCTATTAAACTGCATTTTATTTATATTTATTTATATGTATCCATTTATTTTGTGTGTGGACATATGCATGCTATGGTACATATATGGAGGTCAGAGGCCAATTCGTGGGAGTCTGTTCTCTCCTTCTACCAGGTGGGTCCTGGGATTTGAACTCAGGTCATCAGGATTGGCATTGAGTATCTTTACCCACTGAGCCATCTTGCTAGCCCAGTATCAACTTCTAGAAGCAGCCCTATGGTTGCTTCAGGCTTTTAGATGTCAGTGTTTGATGGGCAACGTCTTAGTCCACAAGAAAAGCTAAACTAACTCTATGCCAAAGGGTACGTATGGTCTGAGGTGATAGCAAATGTGTAAGATGAGAAAGGAGTGGTAGTTCCAGGCTCCTGAGATCGGGCCACCAAAGCTGATAACTCAGCATGAGAATCGGGCCCCAGAACTGCTGGAGCATCATTTCCTTCCGCTAGCAGGACCCAGGGCCTCCCACCTCTTCATCCTCCCTGACAGATGAAGATCAAGGCAAGGAATAGGGAGAGAGGAAGAGGCAGGTCCCTCCTCCCAGATAGCATCTCAGGCAGACAGCAGCAAATGCGTGCCAAGCATTCTGTTGAATCAGCTGCTGCCTGCCTCAGCCCAGGAGCTGTTCAGCTGACAAGGGCCACCTGTGGCCTGCTGAGGTTGAGCCCATGCACTCATGTCGGGGTGTGTAGAGCAGGGAAGCAGGGCCCCTCACTTTCCTCTCTCTGTGTCAGCCCAGGGACAAAGGAGGCAGCCACTTAAAGAATGCACAATGACGTTTTTTATTGATCAGAAAGAGGGTGGCCGGCCAGTCACCCGGGAGCCCAGACAGCCTGGGCAGCAATTCCAGGGTACCCTTCACGAGGCTCTGAAGGCTTGCTCTCACACTCGCCAGGGCTCAGCAGTCTCCTCTTCAGAGGCCAGGCCCTGCTCCCAACCCTGCTCTTCCTCTTTTTCCTCTTCTCCTTCTCCATGGCTCAGCCCCAGCTGGGTCATGATCATAGACGAGGGTGTCAGGAGCCTACACATGGGCTTCCAATTCCATAGTACCTTCTAGAGGGGAGGAGCCCATCTCTACCTGGCCATGTCCATCCTAACAGTTCCATGGAAGCCTGTGCTAACTGAATGTCCAGTGGCTACAAAGTGATAGCAGCTGCTCAAGTCTGGGATCCCCCTACAAGTTACTGAAAACGCAGAGACAGAAGCTAGTAGCTGGCAGCCTGGTGTGGCTCCTTGACCAGGGGAGGAAGGGAGCAGCCAGCTCCTTCTGCCAGCCATGCCCCGCAGCCAGCCTGGTCTGCCTGCCTGCTTGCCTATACAAGCCTCTGTGACCTCACCCAGTACTATTAGCCTCCAGGGCAGCTGTCTGTCCTGCCGTGGGAGGGGGACACAGGCCTGCATGGGATTTACTAGGGTAGTGCAAGTGTTGAGCAGGGTCCCAGGCTGCTGGGGAAGTGTGGGCCTCCCCTCCCCTCCCACTGCCTGCAGCAGGTTGGGGAGTAATTAGAGACTATTAGAGGAAATTAAGCCCCACCTCCAGATGTAACTTAATGGTCTGCCCCACCCTCTCCTAACACCTTGGGCTCCACCCCCTTCACATCTGGAACAGCCAGCAGCCTTTGGTTGCAGGGGCTGCAAACACCTAGCCAGGAGCCCCAGGCTTCCAAGTTCCCCACCCCAAGATGGGCTTTGACTTCCTGTTCAGACCTTCCTGCCCGCCCCTCCCTTTCTCCTACCCCTACTTGCAAACTTCCAAGGGCCTCCCTATGCCCCCAGCAACTTTCAACCGGAAGCAACAGGTCTCATAATTAAAGGCTGTCCCAACAAGTAACAAGCATCCTGCGGAGGATGGAGTGGATGGAGTAGGGAATTAAAGGGGCTTTGGTGCCTGTTTGCTTTCAGGCCCCTGGGCTTTCCGGTCTTTGCTTGCCTACATAGAACAGAAGGGTGCTTAAGGGTCACGGCCTGAAGTCCCCTCAGGAAAAAGGATGTCCCAAATCTTCCTTTTCATCTTACACGAATCAGGAGTCATATGGAACCATGGTGCCCTCAGCCCAGGGTTAAGGCATGGTGAGCATTTCTTAAACAGCCCCAAAGCCATTTTTTTTCCAGCTCCAGAGAGGTAGCCAAAGATAGGGGAGCAACTCATAGTGGGGTGTGCCTGCAGAGGCCATGCCTTTGACAGGCTCAGCTGCCAACCTTGACCCTCTGGGGGCTGTGGCTGGGAACAGGAGAGGGAAGAGTGACAATAATCTCCCTGGGCAGGACAGACCGCTCTGGAGATGAAGAAGTGTGGTAACCCCCTGGAGTCCAGCTGACCACAATAGCCAGGCCTCAGGAGGCTGGAGGCTGGTCCATGTCCCTCACCCTTGCCCTGGCACTCCCATCAAAAGGGCAGCAAGGGTGGTGGCCGGGCAGGCTCAGGGCACTGAGTTCCACCACCGAAAGGAGAAAGGTTTCCTTCTCACATTAGTGCCACAATGAATCTCCCCCAGCAACTGATGGTAAGACAGGAAGTCATCGATGAAGATACAGTGCAGACCCAGCGGCTCCAGCAGGGAGCGCACCTTCTCCTCCAGGCAGCAGCGGCCATTGATGAGGGGGCCAAAGGGTTTGGGGATGCCCAGGTATTTGCCTAGGACCACCATGTTGACCTGCAAGAGAGAGGAAGAGCCCTACTGGCTGTGAATGTGCCACACCCTTGTATCCTTCTGGCCTCTGACTCTGCTGATACCTCCTCCCCAGGACCAGGAATGGGTCAAGAATTACGGTCTGAGATGGGGATGGGGTATGTACCCATTATAATTTGGGAGTCATAAACAGGAAGATGTGGACTTTGAGGCCAGCCTGAGCTACATAAATAAAACATATCTTAACATGTAAAAAAAAGGGGGGGTGCTGGGCTGAGGATGTAGCTCAGTGGTAGAATGATTCCTTAGTTAATAGCAGGTATGATTAACTCTACCAATGGCAGTCACCTTTCCTCCTATGCTTTCTCCGGTCTCTCAGACAACTGTCATGTTGTAACAAGTTTGTCACAGCCAGAGATTAAACATGCAGATCTACGGGCCTGTCCTGTGACTGTCCTCACCAGTGTTAATGGCTGTGCAGTACACAGCTTGCTCCGCTGTTCATAGCAGTCCTTTCTCGAGTGTCCAGCAATTACTGAGAATGTGTGCACTCCAGATACATCACCCCCGAACCTCACGGCCCCCTCTGAGCCTATGGTTCAGGCATTAAGTGACATTACAAGTCACTATGCCTTGTTGCCCGCTGACAGGCTGGAATGTGCATGCAGCGGGGTGTGTGTGTGTGTGTGTGTGTGTGTGTGTGTGTGTGTGTGTGTGTGTGTGTGTGTGTAAGGGCAGGGACAGGAATGGGAAGCCATGTTTATTGCCATGGTCAGGCCTCTGCTGCCAGAGTCAAGGGTCACAGCTCAAGGTCATAGGCTTTAACCTAAGCTGTGTCCCACCTGCAATGGGAAACAAAGCCCAGTGTCTTCATGCCCGCAGTCGTTAGCACATATGGCTGTGTAGGTTAAAATCATGTCATGTCCCTGGTTGTTATTTATGGATCACATGTGGTGCACCATGTCACCCCAGTACTCAGAGGATGCCATGCTCCACTGCAGAGCACCAAAGTGCTCACCCCAGCATGGAAAGCTGGAACAGAAGGGAGAGGCATAGCTTCAAGCAGCAATGACCGGTATTGTTGGTTGTTAAGGAGCCAGAGATGCTGTTTAACACCTGACAGTGTCCAGCATCGGGAGGCTCAGGTGGAAAGCCCCCGTCTTTGGGAAGCAGCACCCTGCTAGCCTAGAGGTTACACCTCATGACAGCCAGGAACTAGGCACCCTCACTCCAACCTGCACATCCCTTTCCCTAACTTGTCCCAGTCTTGTCCCAGGAGAAGTACCCAAGCTAAGGGCACCATAGAAAAGGAGCGTCACTTCCTGCTCCAGAGCCCACGTCCCATTGAGACCCTCACCTGTATCCTTCCAGGAAAGGAACTGGGCCTTTGGGCCAGCTGATTTGATAAAATCACTCAGGCCCCTCTCAACTAAGGGCTTTTGGCCTCTTCTGCTGCCTAGTGGCTATTTTGTTCTATCAGGAAGGCTGATGTAGAAGCTCCTTGGGGGAGCCTCATGTGAAGGCTCAGGTGGGAACAGAGCAAGTCAGTGAGCCTCCAGATAGAAGACAGAAACATCCATGTCCACCTTTTCATTTAGAATATGAAAGCTCTCTGGGTGGGGCTGACTGCTGATGCCCACCAGGTGCCAAATGCACCAACTCAGTGTGGCCATCTGAGATGCTCTAGGCACGTACCTGCCTCGTCTAGGAACTGCTACCCCTTCTCTGTGCAGCCTCTGTACCCACCCATCTCCACACCCACCAGGGACTCTCACCATGTCAGGGAAGAAGGCTTCAGCATAGGCTCCCTTCAGATAGAAGAGCTGTGGGATGTCCACGATGTCGCTCTCCGATAGGCCCAGCTCCCGCTTTAGCACCTTCCGGTTCCAGTCGATACATTCCTGGGGAGGAGGGAAGCCCGGCCCCCCACAGTAGAATCTGAGTGCCCTGTGCCTGAGTGCAGGACTGAGCACTTGTGGGTTCTGTGCAAAAGGATTCACAGTTGCCTGAAGTAGGGAAACCGAGGCTTGCCCAACTGCACAGAGCTAGGAATAGTTGGTTTGGTTCCAAAGAATCCTGTCACTTGATTACAGTTTTTAAAAAATTGTTTTTATTTTACATATATGGATGTTTTGCCTACATGTATGCCTGTGTGCTATGTGTGTGCCTTGGTGGCAATAGAGGCCAAAAAAAAAAGGGCATCAGATCTCCTGGAACTGGAGTTACAGATGGTTGTGAGCTGCTGTGTGGGTGCGGGGAATAGAACCCGGATCTTCTGGAAGAACAGTCAATACTCTTAACTGCTGAGTCCTCTTTAGTCCCAATTACATTTTTTAAGTGTGGTGTGTGTGTGTGCGTGTGTGTGTGTGTGTGTGTGTGTGTGCGCGCGCGCGCGTGCAGTATAGGCACATGTGGAGTTTCTGGAGTTCATGGAGATCCATGAAATCCGTAGATCAAACTCAGCTCTTGAGGCAGCAGGCGCCTTTACCTGCTGAGCTACTTTGATGACCACTGTCATCCCTCCCCCCCAAGACAGGGTTTCTCTGTGTAGCTTTGGAGCCTGTCCTGGAACTCACTCTCTAGACCAGGCTGGCCTCAAATTCACAGAGATCCACCTGCCTCTGCCTCCTGAATGCTGGGATTAAAGGCCTGCGCCACCACCACCTGGCAACCCCCTGTCATTTTAACACACCAACTAATGCATGGCTAATATTTCTTCCCACCCCAGCCATCTAGGTAAAGTCCCTGGCTTGGTGAAGAAGGGCCGATGGGCGTCCTGCCTTCACTGAACCCAGCATCGCACACAGGGCAGGCACTGTCCTTGGTGAGCCCTACCCCTTCCCAGATGTGTCCTACCTGCTCTCTGCTCAGGGCTCCTGAGGACCCCATGCCCTGCATCTCACATTCACACTCCCAGGGTGTGGCCCTGGATTCATTTCTGTGGAAATGGACTGTACCCACAGAGCCAGGCAACTCCAGATGCTTGCTGTGGCCTGAGGATGGCCGGCCTGTCCCCCCAGGCTGCCAGCCCTGAGGACAAACACTCTCCTCACTCCTACACCGACAGAAACACACAGGACAAACTGAGGCTGGGCCATGCCCCACACTCTGGACCTTGCCATCACCTAGCCAGCATCCTGCCCTCACCTGCACATGCATACTGTCTCTCCTGAGGTGTTTGTCGGCTAAGATATTGTTGATGCTTCTCTTTGTCTTATGTTTGAGGCCTGTGAAGGACAAACAGTGCGTGAGTTCAGGGACGGGCAGACAGTGCGCATTCAGGGACCGAGAGTTCAGGGACACTGCCTGGAGCCCCCAGGCCTGAAGCAGCATGGTATGGGTCAAGGACACTGTCACAAGCAGGATGCTAAAAGGGAAAGGCCAGACACTGGAGGCTGGTGTCATCTGCAGCCGAGCCCTGGAGAAGAATCAGGTGCTAGGACAGGGCCTCAGGGCTCCTCATGGCTCCCAGCCCTGACCTCCCGCATCTGCTGGGGCAGCTTAATCCTTGTTGATCTTTAAGGTGTTCCAGGGAGGGTGATTGTCATATCCAATTCAGAGAAGGGAAAAGGGCGTTCTAAGAGGCAGAGCACAACCCCGGTTGACTCCACCTCCAGCAAGTGTTGAAGCTAGGATTTGGACCTAGGAAGCACCCCTTCATCTCCCCCGAGGTCCCCCAGCAGCCACACCACCATCAATGTACCTGGAGTGACTCTCTGGTCCCTCACTGTCCCCCCCCCCTTCAGGGCAGCAGCAGGAACATCCCCGGGGATGGTGGTGAAGGGGTAGAATCTCCACGAGGCGACAGGTGACGAAGCGTTGGCACTCACCATCGAACTGCACTGCCTCCCCATAGCCCTCCTCCTTCTTCTCCTGGAACAGCTGGAGGCAGGCGCTGGGGCTGGCCAGGAGCAGCCGGAAGCCCTGTCACGAGGGGTACAAACGGCTCAAAGCATGGGTCCATTAGGAGCCAGACATACACTGGGCTCCTCCCCACACCCCCGTCCACCCCACTCACCAAGTGGGTCCCAGCTGCGGGCCTTCTCCACACCTGTCTCCCTACCTGGGGTCCTGCTCACTTTGCCTACCCAGGAACTCCATTCCACCTTCCACTTAATCCAGGTGTGTCAGCTGCTCACTGCCCTCATCTGAGCTTGCTGGACCAGAATCACTGGCCACTAGGAAGCCCCTCCCCCTAGGTGGCTTCCTCCATGAGGGCTGTGTGTCACCTTCTTCCTGGCCCTCTCTACAAGATAGCAGGACTCTGGGGTCAATGTAGAGACCAGACCCCACATCCTGATGAGAATCCTCCACAACCACCCCTGGCTGTATGGTCCTGAGAACCCTCCTAAGCCTCAGTTTCCTTACCTGTAAAACGGAGGCAAGAATGGGCTTGTGGGAGGGCTACCTGGCTGAAAGTTTGTGTGAGCCTGGCATATAGTAGGTGCTCGAGTCATTTTCTCAACACTTACCAGTGTCGTTCCTCACTCTTGGAGTGTTCCGGGGTCCGAAAAGACCAGCAGGAAGCCCTCCCTGATTAACACAGCCTAAGCCCCCGGGCATGCTGACCCCTTAGGACTGAGTTGGTTGGGTGCTCATGCCCAGAACCATTCCATCGGGCCAGGTGGGGGCAGAGGTAACTCAATCGGAAGGCTGTAGAATGGTGAAGCAGGGGACACACCTTTTGGTCAGAGGTGGGCACAAAGCTCAGAAACTCATCCACGTGACCCACGGAAAGCCAGTCAGAGTAGAGCTCCACGGGGGCCTGCACCTGCTGGGCCTGGAGGAAGTCACGCACCACCCTAGCCATCCGCCGCCCACTGGATCTGGTGGGGGAGAGAGGCTCGGTCAGTCATCTTATACCCACCCCCCCCCATGCATCTCTCCTATGCCCTTACAACTCCCTAAGTGGGTCCTCTTTACTAGAGGGGAAACTGAGGCTCAGTGAGCTAAGGTGACGTAGCGTGAGCCATGTTGCTGAGAAAGGTCAAGACCAGACTCCATTGATTACAGGCCCAGAGATTTGAAGGTCAAGCTGAAGCCATTGAGGACAGAGAGGGGGCAGGAAGACCCAGGAGGAGAGAGGCAGACACCACAGGTCAGGGGATGGATGGGCAGGGCAGATGCAGGTCAGGTCAGGGTCAGGGGTCAGGTTTGGCAAGAGGGCAGAGCTTGTTTGAGTGAGGCCTTCTGAACCCAGCCAATCACCCCGAAGGTTCCACATGTTGACGAGAGGCTGAGTCCTACTTATGCCAGAGTGTGAGAATCACACACTGCCTCAGGGATTTGGGGTTTCCCATTCCCCAACGCCTAGAAGTTCCCGAGAGGAAATGTAGCATTTCCTAAGCACCCCTTACCCAGGGAGAATACAGCAGGAGGCGTCCTCCACCACCTCCAATGTGACTGAGGGTGGCTTTGAACTCCTGACCCTCCTGCTTCTACCTCCCAAGTGCTGAGATCACAAGCCCTCAATGGTTTATACAGGGCTGAGGGCTGAACCTAGGGACTCATGCACGTCACCAACTGTCCGTCCCCGGCCCCAGTCCCAGCTTGGGCTTTAAATCTTGAGGCTTGGAATCATTAAGGTCTGACCTTTCTCAGCGGTGTGGGGTGTGGCCCAGGCTGTCCTTTCAACCCTGGGAGCCTCAGACTCCCCTCTGGGAGAGAGGACCCACTCAGATGGTTATTTTGTCTAAAAAGACCCTGTTTCCAGCCAACTGTCCATCGTAAGCCATGTCACCCACAAGCGCTTCTGCAGTGTGGAGTCTACTGGAAACAAGGGGTGAGGTCAACCCTTGTCTGCCAGCAGGAGCCGGCCTTCCTTTTCAGGTGGCCAGCGGCCTGTCCTTTTCCTTGACGCCTATTTCAAGCTTGATTCTTTCTGATCTATCCAGAGAGAGGATTGTAAAAGTCAGACTCTGTACCCCATCTGGTTGAAACCCTGCTGGTGTCGCTCCCATCTTACTTCCAGAAACTGCATGGCCCCTAGTGACCGCTCCCTGACCTACGCATGGCCCCTGGTGACCTAACCCCCACCCTGGCCCTGGCCCTTTCCACTCACTCTGGTCTCCTGCTGTTCCGGGAACTTACCAGACACAAACATTCCTGCCTCGGGACCTTTGTACCTCCTCTGCGCTCCCTGACCCCAGCCCATGGTCCCATGGCATCCATCTTTCCTCTTCCAGGAGGAGCTCAAATCTTGACTTCTTTCTCTGAGGTTTTGACAAATGGCAGCCGTGAGCTGACCCCCTCCATAGCTTTGTTTTTCTCCACGGCACTCATACTTAGCCATCTGACTCTCGCCCTTTACTAGGACACTCTACCAGGGCAGGGGGCTCGTCTAAGCCTTCTCTGCTGAAGACCAGCCCCTCTCACACCATATCTGATTCAGAAACACTGGTACTCGCTGCAAACGCCTTGGAGCAGCTGTGTAACAAGTAAGACCTAGAGGCTTCAGAGGCAGCTCAGTTACTACAGCGCTTGCCTGCCATGCATGAGGTCCTGAGTTCAACCCCTGGTACTGCATAAATGGGGTGAGGTGGCGGTTATACTGGTCATGACAGCACCTGGGAGATGGAGGCAGGAGAAACTTGGCTGTGTTTTGAGTCTGAAGTCAGCCAGGGGCTACATGAGACTCTGTCTCAAGAAAAAAATAATTAAGAAGGTCCATAATTTGGAGCCTGCCACAAACAAGCCTGACAGGCACAAATGAAGCTCCTGGTTGGAATTGTAGGTGGAAGGTGGGACCAGTCTGTCATGTGGCTTATGTAGCACAGGCTGTTTCGAAGGGCATCTTTAAAAACAATGAGAGAAAACAGAAACCATTCAGCAAGTGCAGCACGAAGCCCCTCCACAGGACTCTCTCCCATGGAGGGCTGGGCAAGGAGGAAGTGGTCCCTTCTCCAGAAGAGGACAGATTCACCTCTGCACCATCACCAAAGTCACCACCAGGGGGCAGAATTGTTCAATGATCAGCACCTGCGAAAGATCTGGTTAGTTGGGTACCTACTGTGCCCACTTGGCTTAGGCTCTTACACTCAATGCTTCCTTTAGTCCCTCTATATCATCCTGAGCTGGGCGGTGGCGGCGCACGCCTTTAATCCCAGCCTTCAGGAGACAGAGGCAAGTGGATCTCTGCAAGTTTAAGGTCAGACAGGTATAAAGAGTGTGTTCCAGGACAGCCAGGGCTGCAACAGAGACCCTGTCTCGGAAACAAACAAACCTAAAAAAGATCATCCCAGGATGCAGGCATATTAGCAATGCCACCATCTGGGGGTCACTCTGCCCCCTCCCTCATCTTGTGCTTCACAGGTTTCTCTTTTCAGCCCCTGCCCACTGGCTTTTCCCAGCCCTTCAAAGCCTCTGGCATGCTCCTACCTCAGGGCCTTTGCGAAAGCTTGTCTTCCCCTGGAACATTCTCCTTCTGAGCACTCAGCATTGTAACTCCCTTCCTTCAAGACATTGTCTCACTGTCAGATTCTTACCAAGACTGAGGGGACAGGTACTACCTACTTACTGTGTGCCATGCCTGCATGGAGTCCTCTGCCAGGGCCGTGTGTAATTACACAGCATCCCCAGGAGGCTGGGGCTGGCACTGTCCCCATTTTATAGACATGGATGCCGTGGCTCAGAAAAATTACTGGTATTTGTTTTGTTTTTACTGACAGGGTCTTAATATGTAGCCCTAGCTAGCCTAGAGCTGGCTATGTAGACCGGGCTAGCCTGGAACTCACAGAGATCTGCCTGCCTCTGCCTTCTGAGTGCAGTAATTGAAGGTGTGTGCCACCTGCTGAGATCTTGAAGGCTGCCTACTCTGTTCATTGCTGAGGACAGATGTCAGGGAGGACATGGGACAGCAGCCCGACTTGTCAAATTCTATACTGGGACCCAGAGAGGACACATGGATTTTGATAGCATCATGAATGCCGTGTGGCTCTAGACAGATGGCTGTCCTTCTCTGGGCACATCTTCCACTAAGAGCCTTGTTTCCTAGTTTTTAACAGCTCCTTGGTGGGACACAACCAATGGGCACCTGGAGACCTTGCCTCCTTTGCAGATCCTTGACATAAACCTAGAGAGTCCAGAAGGAGGTCTCTGCAGCTTGCATGTGGAAAGGTTCCTAGCTGGGGCAGGTTTTCCTCCTCCATCTGTACTCCAGTGCTCTGTGAATATGTGTGTGTGTGGGTGTGCACATGTGCGCACATGGGTGTGCATTCATGCGTGCATGTGGGGGGGCAGAGGTTGACATCGGGTGTCCACCTCTAGTGCCCTCCACCTTAGTTTTGGGGACAAGGTTTCTCACTGAACTTGGGTCTTACTGTTTCAGCTAGGCCGGCTGCCCAGTGTTCCCCGGGGTCCCTCTTGACTCTGCGGGCAGTTCTGGATTACAAGCATGGGCTGCTATATCCAGCCTTTTACGTGGGTGCTGAGGACCTAACCTCAGGCCTTCAAGCTTGGGAGCCAGGCACCTAACCCATTAAGCCATCTGGTCAGCCCCAGGGGAGAGGGTTTTTGTTTGCCTGCTTGTTTTTCAAAATAGGGTTTCTCTGTGTAGTCTCTGCCCTGTAGACCTGGCTGGCCTCTGTCTTGCCTCTTGAGTCTGAGTGCTAGGATTAAAGGTGTGTACCACCTTTAATGTCTTTTGTTTGTTTGATTGATTGATTGGGTTTTTCAAGACAGGGTTTCTCTATGTAACAGTCCTGGCTGTCCTGGAACTTACTTTGTAGATCAGGCTGGCCTCGAACTCGCAGAGGTCCACCTGTGTCTGCCTCCTGAGTGCTGGGGTTAAAGGCATGCACCATCACCGCCCAGCAGGAGAAGGCTTTTTTATCAAGCCTGTTTTACAGTTGAAGAAAATGAGGCATGGGATATAAAAGAATCATTTATTTCAAACACATCAGTGTTGTTCCCTCACAGCCCTCTTTCTACACGCTAGTTTTTTGTTTTGCTTAATTCCCCTCCTCCCCTTTTAACTTGTTGGTTTTGTTTCATTTGTTTGGGTTTTTGGTTGCCAAGGCTGGCCTTGAACTCACGATCCTCCTGCTTCAGCCTCCTGGGGTTATTGGGTTGTACCTCTGTGTTTAGCACCCACAGTTCTTTCCCCCATGCCTGGCACCTGACCCTAATTTGAAGGAATGAATTGAGCACCGACTATTTGCCAGACACCGTGGTGAGCACCAGCTGAGTGGTACAGCCACATCAGTGGGCATTGGATCCTGGAGACTCATAGGTCACTTCCTTGGGACCTCTGGGCCTGCAGCCCAGCCCCAATGCACTATCTGAGGTGGGTGGCCAGCAGGGCCTCTATGCATCTCCTGGCCAGCCTCAGCCAGCACAGCAGGTCCAGGCACCCAACTTAGTGCCTCACTTGGTACCAGCAAAACCCACCTTGTCTGATTCAGCAGCCCCAGACTCTTACCTGAGGCTGTGTGGCCAGCTGGGGCTCAGAGGACAAGTTGGGGCACACCCAGGCTCCACACCAGCCTCCACAAATGAAAGGGACACCCCGGGTTTGTGACAGGGTGAAACCCCTGTGGGCTTCAAGGAGCATACCCTCATTTGGCTACCTGAGGCCAAGGAGGGACCCACTGTGCAATGAGGAGGCATCGGCACCCGTCTGAGCATTAACTGAGCCCTAAACACCTTGTCCTCTGCGCCATCACAGTTAGCCAGCATGGGGTCACTGAGTGGCACTGTCATAAGGGTTCCTGCTGTCTGTCCTGCCTCTGGGCCCTTTCAAGACAGGATAGCAGTGACTTTGCCTTCCCAGTGCAAGGAGCCTGTCACTACTTATGTGGCAAAGGGTGTGTCACCTCCCAGCTTGGCTGATTTCTCACAGACTCTTATTAGCCCTGGCTGGCCCTGAGTTCTGCATGTAGCTGAGGATGACTTTGAACTTCTGATCCTCCTGATTCCATTCACCCAAGTGTGAGCCATCACCCTTGGCTTAACGTGGTGATTATCCTTATCAGACTCTGGGTCACTAATATGACCCTGAGACCTTATGATCTGTGTGACAGTCATACCATGAGCTCTGGAGAGCACCTTCCAGCCCAGAGTCTGGGACAGTCATTCCCATGGGCTCTGGGAGACACCTCCCTGTCTGGAGAGCCACTCGGAGGAGGCTATTGCACCCTCCCAGACCCGCCACCCTCTCAGGCCACTCACTTGGGGAAGTTGCCGCCGATGAGGATTCTGCCAAGTGGGTACTCTTTGTTGCCCACCCTCACTGGTGGGCTCACATCCAGGTTGCCGAAGGAATCCAGGCCAGAGGCGCCTGCGTACTGGATCTCCCGGGTCACATATCCAAAGTCAGGACCCTAGAGAGGCACCATCAGAGTATCCATGGGCAGGAGGGGGGAAGGAGCCACATTAGAGGAGGGGAGGACACGGGATGCCTGCTTCCATCCACACCTAACTAGCCCCCCTCTCTCCACACTGAGCAGTTCAAGATCAAATCAGTGCCCAGAGGTGAGCAGAGTTCAGGCCCTTGGTCAAAGGACTCATGGATGGACAGACACAAAAGAGAGACCATGGGCAGGAAATGGAGGAAGACTGCAGAGCATCAGGGGCTGGGCAGGTGACTCAGGAGGTAAAGAAAGAAAGCACTTGCCTCACAAGCATGAGGACCCGAGTTTACTCCCCAGAACCCACAGAAAAGCCTGGTGTGATAGCACACACCTGTAATCCCAGTGCTGGGAGGCCTTGTAGACGTGGGTGGAACCCTGGGACTCACTAGTCAGCTAGCCTATCCTAATTGGCATGTTCCAGGCTAATAGGAGACACTGTCTCAAAAAAAAAAAAAAAAAAAAAAAAAAAAAAAAAAAAAAAAAGAAAGAAAGAAAGAAAAAAGTGGACAGCACTTAAGGCGCAACTTCCAAGGATAACCTCTGATGTCCACATGTATGTGCATGGACACACATACACACACACACACATGCACACACACGCATGGACACACACACACATGCACACACGCGTGCGCACACAAACACACACACATGCATACACAATGCCCCACACATCAAAACTTGGGAGACAGAGGGCTCGGGACCCCTGACACACCGGTCATGAAGGGAAGGCACTCAGCAGCCTCAGCCTGCACAGTAAGTCAAGAAGAAAGGAGTGTCATGAACCCAAAGAAAGAGAAGGCCAAGGGGCCACAGGGCCAGGAGCCAGGAGCCAGGGCGCCCTGGTCCCCACACACACTCAGCCTGCAGGGTTCACCCCTCAATGTGTAACATTCCTTACACTGTGTGGAGATGTGTCACTGTGATTAGTTTAATAAAGAGCTGAATGGCCAATAGCTGGGCAGGAAGAGGTTAGGCGGAACTTCTGGGGACAGAAAGGACTGGGAGAGGAAAAAAGGTGGAGTTGTCAGCCAGAACAGACACAGAGGAAACAGGACATGCAAGAGGAGAGGTAAAAGGCAGGAGCAGCGTGGCAGCGTGTAGATTAATAGAATGGGTTAGTTTACATTGTAGGAGCCAGTGGGACAAGCCTAAGCTAAGAATGAGCTTTCATAATTACTAAGAAGTCTCCGTGTGGTTATTTGGGAGCTGTCTGGTGGGAGAGAAAGACTTGTTATACCCCCACCCCCATCCAGGTCTACTAGTTACTGGCTCAAGGCACCCTATTTCCAAACTTCCTTCTGGGTCCGCATTGTCCTGGCAGGAAGGAACTTGGGATCCACAAACCCACAGAAATGGGACCACCTCAGGAAAATCTGCAGCCAACTGTTGGGTACAGGGGCCCAGTAGGTTCCAGTCAGGGTTTATGCATGGGTGCACCACTGGCTTCCTGCCTTGGGCAAGTTGCTTAACCTTGCCAAGCCTCAGTTTCCTTAGTACTGAAAAGAAAACTTTATAAGTAGCCATTATTAATAATAGGGCAGAGTGTCTTGTGGACTGAGTGTGGGAAGCCATTAAAAAACTAGGGGGCAGGGTCCGGAACTCAGCGGTGGGTGGCAGTAGCTGCTGCTGCCACCATCCTGTGTGTAGGGAGTACCAGTCCTGGCATGCTTGCTAAGGGTACACAGCCTCTCAAAGGCACTCTTGTCTCCAGGGCTGCCTGCTGACTCCCCACTGAGAATGAGCCCTGGCCAAGAACTTTGCTGTTCTGTCTGTCCCAGGATGGAGAAGGTGTAATGGGAGTGGGTGTCTATTTGCATGTGATTTACATATCATTTACATCCTCAGATGAAACTTCTACCCACTCTCCAGGTTGCTGTCGACACCCCCACCAGTCTCTGGACCCTAAAAGAGCAGATGAGGCTTCACCAGGGCTCCCAGGAGAGGAGCCACCAAAGCCCTGTCCCCCTTGCCCCCACACCCCACATCATGTACTTGGCCACGCACCAGGATCTTCTTAAGGGCAAAGTCCCTCAGGCCTCTGTTTCGAGGGGAGTCGAAGACCACAGGGAAGGATTTGTGAGGGGCTTCAATGTAGCCAAACTCCATCTCGTCCTGTGTGAGGAAGAAAGATCTACAGCAGGCCTCCTCAGGGGGGTTCAGAAGAGATGACCCCAGACAATGGCATCACCCAAGACCTGGGTAGGACACGGGAGGCCTCTAGGGCTCCATCCAGAAGACCCAGGCCTGAGACAGGATGTCTGGAGGAGATGGGAGAGATTGCTCCTGTTGGAGGTTGGCCCTTAGTCCTGTGCCAAACTGCTCTAGTTTGGGCCCATGTCCCCAGGCTTATCAGGCTGATATGGCTGAGCTCCTGTACTCCCAGTCACCCCCCAACCCACACAGTTCTTTGGATCTGCCTTGCACTCACCTGGATCCAGCGATCATTGTTATTCTCCACCCGGGGACAGATCATTAGTTTGCAGTTGGCCTTCTGGGCCAGGTGAGCCATGTCTTCCAGGAATTTGTCATTGCGGCCATGGGCATCTGTCACACTGCAAGGACAGTGACTAAAGCTGGGACCAAAATCCAGCTGTGCCAGGCCCTGTGTCCCTGGGCACTGAGTTTCAGATGTAGCCCTGCCTTGGAGAGGCTGGAAGACTGGGGGTGGGGGCCATGTTCCTAGATCACATCAGGTGACTGGTGCCTGAGCAAGGTAAGGCCAGGCTGTAGAGCCCAGAGACAGGGTGCCTGAACTAGCTCAGGCAGTCCAGGGTGGCTTTGGAGGTGACAGGGGTTGATGTCACTGATGGAGATAGCAGTAAGTGGGCTATCACTGATGGAGATAGCATCCATGGATAGTGGGCTATCCATGTCTTTTCAGAGCAGAGAGTGAGGTGAGGTCTCTGAGAAGACAGAAGGCTGGGACACTCTAGGCGGACAGATAACCCTGAACACAACACCCTTTTGCTATGAAGTTGCATCTGGCTCTGCAGACCCTATCTTCCATTCCTTTCTGTGATATCTCAAGTGTTGACCAGCAGAGGCCACTAGACACCAGGGCACAGCAAAAGGACCAGGACACCCAGAATAGGCAAGACTCAATGGATCCTGTGACTGGGTCCCTGTGGCCTCAGAAGATGCAAAAGTGACCTCAGAAAGGTGAGGCCAGGTCCTTCCTGGCACACATGCAGGGCTCAGCTCCACCACCCAGATTTTGTTTTGTTGTGTTTTGAGATAGGATCTCCTGTAGCAGAGGCTGGATTTGAGCTCCCAGTTTGCCTCCTTCAACCTCCCAAGTGAGGGATTACAGGCCTGTACCACCACACCTGACCCCACCACCCAGCCTGAATTCAGGGTGCCTGGGCCTCTGTAACAGGCAGAGAGCCGGCAGACTTACAGCTGGTGCTGCTGACTTGGTAGGACCTCTACTGTGGCAGCTCAAGGCTGTGATGCCATCCCTGAATGAAGGCTGGTCAACCACACAGCACTGTTTCTTACTCTTCCGGTTTGGGCCTGGTGGGGTTGGGAAGGAGCTTACCTGCACACATATAGCTCCAGGGGTGGCTGGGTGTTGGGGGTCATGATCCAGGGGGCCACTCGGAAGGTCACGCTGTCTGTGAAGAGTGACACCTCGGAGAGGGCCTGGGAGAGAGGAGTGCTCAGTGGCTTTGTGGGCTCCCGGCTGCCCTCTGTCCCCCCACACCCCTCCCTTGACACAGCCCTCATCTAGTACTTACCTCTGTGCCTACCAGACTGACACTGAGGGAGATCAGCCCTGGGAAATTGGTGTCAGGAAAGACGAGTCCTTCCACGTAGAACTGGATGTTGCTCTCCCCGGGGTGCCGCTCTACCTCATAGCTCTGGTGATGGGGTCCTAGCACCTGCTTGTAGTTGGAGAGGGAGGTCCCACCTAAGGAGACAGGGTCAGGCTCATGTGGGGGGGCACCTCTGGCGAGCTCTACTCAAGTTCCCTTCCAGCTCTACAAGCTTTGTGACCTTGGCCCAATGACTCGACCTCTCTGAGCCTCAAGTGAATTGACATAACTAGAGAAAAGCATCTGGCCCAAAAGGTGATGGTGGCCCAAATGTCCATCCATAGTGCTTATAAACAAATTATGTCAAATCAAGTACTTCCATAGGTGCGCTATTACACACCCACAGAACACAATGAAGTGATCCTGCGTACCACATAATGGACGGATCTCGTTTGTGGTGACAGAAGACGGGAGTGGCTTCTGATGTGGCTGGGTTTTTATTTGGGGCGATTAAATATATTGCCACTGAACTACACCTCAGTCCACTAACACTGCAGATTCTGATTAGAAAAATCTAGCAATTCAGCCAGGATTTGAAGCCAGGTCCTGGGCCCTAGCCTCCAAGGACCCTTGCCCTCCTTACCTGCTGGGGTGGGGCCACCAGACAGCAAGAGTTTGGTGCTGACTGACTGGCTAGAGGAGCCAACAAGTCATGCAGGGTCAAGGAGGGGCCTTGGTGCCCAAGAAGCCTGGCTTGGGACTCTCATTCCAACCCACTTGGCTGCGTGACAGTGACTTTGTGTGTCTGAGCTTCTGTTTTTCTCTCTGTGCACTGGGACCAGCTGTTGGACCCCATCCGTGGCTTGTCATACTGTTCCCCAGTGGAGTAGTCACACTAGACACGAGTTACAGAAAGGTGGCAGAGGAAGGAAGAAGGGGATGAGATGGGCCACTGCTACTCACCTCGGGCACAGAAGACCCTCAGCCTTCTGGAATCGGGCAAAGACACCTTCAAGACCAGCTTGTGGCCCTCAAAGACCTCATCGGGGCCACCGCAGCTCAGCACCATTGGGGACATGTCCTGCAGGTCTGGGAGAGTGACTTCTGAGACAAACGCCCTCCTCCCCAACCAAGACTGTTGGGGAATATTATTATTATTATTTTGGTGTTTTTCGAGACAGGGTTTCTATGTGGATTGGTCCTGGCTCTCCTGGAACTCGCTCTGTAAACCAGGCTGGCCTGGTTTACTCACAGAGATCCACCTGCCTCTGCCTCCCCAGGCGTGCACCACCCCCGTCCAGCTGTGGGATAGTATTTTAACTAGACAAAGGTGTGTTACTTTTGCTCGTGCTGTGGGATATTACTTGAACTGTGTAAAGGTGTGTTACTTTTGCTCACGCTGCATTTGTTTAACCACACAGGAGGATGCATGTTTATGTAAAGATGTGTTGCATTTGTGTCTCACTTTGTCTGTCTGAGGCACCTGCATGGTCTAATAAAGAGTTGAACGGCCAATAGGAGAAGGATAGGTGGGGCTGGCCAGCAGAGAGAATAAGTAGGAGAAGAAATCTAGAGAGAAGAAGGAGGAGAGAACAAGGGAAAAAAAGAGAGAGACACCCCCAGGGCCAGAAGCCAGGCAGACACTGGCCAGACAGGAGGAGCAGAAGGAAAGAAAGGTAAAAGGCCCCGAGGCAAAACGTAGATGAAGAGAAACAGGCAAGAAATGAGCCTAAGCTAAGGCAGAGCATTCATAGCTAAGAAGTCTCCATACCATGATTTGGGAGCTGTTTGGTGGCCCAAAAGAAAGCCTGGTACACATTGCCCATGTGTCTCCTCCCATGCCTGCTGTCACTCACCCTCCAGCGACCTCAGATGGCTGGCATGCAGGTCCTCCCTGGATCCAGGGACGTCTCTGTCACAGTTTACCAACAGGATAGCCCCAGAGCCCCCAGAGCCCCAGCGCCAGGTTTTCTGCGGCAGACAGGAAAGTTGGGGTTAGTCAAGGCCAGGGGTTCTGGGACTAGACATGGCCTGGGTTGGCTCAGTAGTTAGCTCAGAAACTTTCATGTTCTGGCTTCATTTAAAGATTTAAAGAGGGACCATGGACATGGGGTGCAGGGAACAACCTGTGCAGCCAGATGCGGCCAGATGTGGTAGCTCTGTCTACACCCGCAGTGGTGGAACAGGGTGACGCCACCGCATACTGAAATGGCCACATTCTGGCTCTCCCTAAGACACAAGCTGCTACACCTTGACTTCCACGAAGAAGACTCCCCCATTCCAGCATCCTTCTCCTGGGTCCAATTCATCGGGGTCTTGAAGGTCCTTCCAGGTTGAGGACCAAGCTGCCTGACTCTGGGGTCACTACCGTCCCCAGTACCCTTTACGTTTTCTCCATTTGGCAAGGAAGTAAAGAGAAACTCCGAGAGGGAACTTTTATGTTGCACAGTCAGTCTCCAAACCCAGGTCTCTGGGACTGCACAGCCACTGTTTGCTTCCATGGTACTCTTGCCCACCCCTCTGAGTAGATGCTACCCCTGTGCCAGGGCCCAGCCCATGGTTTTCATTGCAGCTCCCGCCTACAGCCCTCCCTCTCCCCCCAGAGAAACACTGGGCAGTGAATAGTCTACACAGTGATTCGGGTGTCCTGCTCCGCCTTGTCCACAAAGCCTTGGGATACAGGCTGTCTCTCTGGGTATTCCCCTACAAACTATACCTCCTGCCCCTACATAGCTGCATACTTCCCATGGGACAACTCTATTCTCCTTCATTCTTCATGGCCTAGCTGTAACTGAATACCCTACCCCTTTCTACCAGAAAGAGGTCATCCGGTCTTTCATGAAGCCCCTGTCATGTTGAGAGGTCCAGATAAAACCCTCCGAGTAGAAACTGCAGCAAACAGACTAAGCCAAATCAGAAAGGGTAAGTGTTTCCCCAGCAGTCACACAGCATGTATCACACGGCCTGAACTACTGCTCACTTGGGCCACTTTGCCCATCTGTCCATCAACAGTACAGATCCTGGATACTGGCCACTCTTCTGTTGCCAAGATCACCCAGGTCTGCCTCAGCTCCACACTCTTGGGGTACCCAGGGTCTTACCTTGTCACCCGAGCTTTTCTTCACCTTGCCTATGCGGCCTGTGTCAGCATCGAGGGACACATCTGCAAAGGGCAGACAGGTCACCTGTCTCTGTACCTGTGACGGCAGGCCCAGCCATCCTGGCTCCCACCCCAGCTGATGGGAATTCTGGAGACTCCATATCCGGGAACCCACGCACTGGCACTGGGGCTCTGGCTAGAGTGTCACTGGTAGTTCTGGTGTTGGAGGGACACGTGTGTTGGTAGCCCTGGGTTTTTAGGCCACATGCAGTGGGCCCCTAACTGTAGTCACTGGGCACCCATGGGCAGGGTCTGTTGTCCTTAGGGGAGGTTGCTGTGAGCTCTGGGTGAATGAGGCACGTGGCTCTCTGTGGTTCTAGGTTGGGTCTCTGGGATCCAGAGACGTGCCGGACTCCCATGAGGAGGCCACTGTGGCTCAAGCTGGTGGCAGTGACACTTCTAGACCCTAATGGCTCTAAGCATGTCTGGGTGTCAATCCTAGAAGTCCTGGAGATGTCTGGTGTTCCCAGGAGGTAGAGAGGAGAGGCGGCTGTCTCCACAACCTTCAGTCACCTCCACTATATTCCAGTAGCTTCCACAGCCAGGCAGAAGCGGGACTCACCAACACTAGTGAGGTAGAGCACGCTGTGGCCCAGGGCAGCAGCCTCCTGTGACCCGAAGTACGACACCTTCACCTGGGAAAGAAGTCAATCCTGAGAGAAGGGGAGGCAGGGGTCATGGGGGCCACACCTACAGCCCTGTTTGAGAGGAGGCGAAACTCATTGGCAATCACCCTGGGGTGATGCTCCAGAGTGCCAAACTATTTGAGGAGGGAGAAAGGAGGGCTACATAGAAGAATATGGTGACTCCAAGACCTTCTGGGATATGAGAGGGACAGACAGAGAGGGGCCACTGTCCCTGCTGGCCTAAGCAGCTTGACCTGTCTCGGCATCCTCCATTCTCTGTACTGAGGGAATGATCACCCTGGTCCCATGATCACAGTAAGTGTCAGGGTTTTTTTTGTTTTGTTTGTTTGTTTGTTTTAATATTTATTTATTTATCCTGTATGTAGTGTTTTATCTACATCATATGAGGGCACCAGATCTCATTACAGATGTTTTGAGCCACCATGTGGGTGCTGGGAATTGAACTCAGAACCTCTGGTAGAGCAGCCAGTGCTCTTAACCTCTGATCCATCTCTCCAGCCCCAAGTGTCAGGATTTTTGCCAAAGTTCAGACTCCTACCCCTACCCCACTTGACCCACACGTGACAGGATTCCTTCCAGGGAAGGTTGCCACAAGGCCCTGTCATGCGCAGAGCCGTGCCCCATCCTGGAGACAGCACTGGGCAGGGGTTGAGGGAACATCATGTATGGGAGACACTAGGGTCAGCAGGGAGGGGTCAGCCAGAGGTGCCTTGCTGTGTGCATGATTGGGTGCGCTGGGCCCCTGTGAGAGCACACGTGAGTGTGGCCACGGAATCCTGCTTGGGGAGCCCAGAGGGAGTGGCATTGAGTTGTGTGAATCTGAGGGGTAACCAGGTTGTTCCCGTGTGCTGTGTGGTGTTGGGTGCGTGAGGTCTGGGTGTCTGTGGAGACGTGTCTGAGATGACTCAGGCTAGGATATCAGCCAGCCCAAGTGAGACTTACCTTGAGGTCATTTAAGTCCTTACTGGCTGTGTCTGCTACCACCACCACATCCACACTGGCATCCAGGGGCCAGTGGGCCCGACCTGTGGGCTCTGCCACCCGTGCAGGATCATACACCATGTAGATCTTCACCTCAGAGCTCCCAGATACCCCGAAGGTGTTGGCGCCCTTGGGCACATCACTAAGGAAAGGGGAGGGAGAGACTGAGGGACTCAGAGAGTGGCCATGGGAGGTAGAGGCTGAAATGTCAGTTTAGGAGGCACCCCTTACCAGTGGGCTGGGGACCCCTGCCTCCAACTCTCTGCTCTAGCCGCATGGTCCTTCCTGCTGGTTCATGAGGGTACCACACTTTCCTGCTTCAGGACCCTCATATAGGGAATGCTGCCCCCCAGCATCCACAAGGCTCAGACTTTACAGCTCTGTTTAAATTGTACCTTTTCCCACTCCCCTCTCAGATGGTTCGGGTCAATTGACAGCATCTGGGATTATCTGGCAGTTTGTGCCTTAGAGCATACCTATCCCGGCTTGTCTTCGTTACATTAATTGATAACGGGTTGTTGAGATGGTTCAGTGAGTAAGGGGCTTGCAGCCAAGCCTGATAATCTGAGTTCGATTTCCCAGGCCCTAATGGCAGAATGAAAGAACCAACTATCTCTGACCTTCACTCGTGTACGTGCGCAAAAGTAGATTTTTCAAAAGATAATTTGTTAATTGGTGTGGGAATACCCGTCTTAATTATGGGTGGGGCCATTTCCTGGGTAGGTGATCCCAGACTGTATAAGAACTGTGGGAGGGCTGGGCAGAAGTATGGCTTCTCTCAGGGACCCTTCTGACTGCATACAAGGACAGCTGGGAAGCCCCTGGTGTCTTGACCCCTCACTATGATGGGCTGCACCTCGAACCGTGGGCTGGAATAAGCCCCTCCTCCTTTTAGTTGATCTGTCGTGTTTTATCACAGCAATGGGAAGAGAAACTAAGACACTCACCCCTCCACCCCCCTAGCTAAGGCTTTGTCACCTGTTCACCTGCCCTCCCCTGCTTTATCAACACTGCCCGTCGCTGTCCAGCTGTCCTGCTAGTTCCAGAGGGCAGCGTTTGCCTAGCTTGCTGCTGGATCCCCGGAGAGAGATCAGACACTCAGCAGACACGTGGGAAGGGAAGAAATGGGTTCCCATTTTCTGCCAACCTCAGGGCTCCCTCAGCCCCCTCTGCACTGAGTGGGGCTACAGTACCCCATCCTACAGCAGCCTCTCCCTGTCCACCTGACACCCAGTGCCCAGCTGAAGCTCCAGAGCTCTTGACCCAGGGGGCCATCAATCTGCTACTGGGCCACCTGCTTGGTCCTTCTGCAGCCATAGCTGTAGGATGGACTCAGGCTATGGTGCACGCAGAATCAAGCCAGCGGGTCCTGGGGAGATGTATTAGCTGATGGATACAAACTGCCTACCTCTATGTCAGGCTCTAGCCTGGTTTTGGGCTCCACAAAGCCCCCCTCCCTGAGGAGACATCAGAAGAGGGGCCACACATGCATGTCTCTCTCCCCTGCCCGCCAGTGGCCAGGGCTCTCTACCATATCGTCTCAATGCTGACAAAGTCACTGAAGACAGACAGGTCTACTTGCAGAGGCCCCCAGACTACATAGACAAGGCGGGAGATCTTTTCTCATAACCCCCCGCTACCAGGTCTCTACCCTTTCCTCCAGAATCCATCCAGGCTCTGGAAAAAACCTTCCCACAGCCCTCTTCACAGTCACCCTGTCCCACCAAGTAACTGTCTTCATTGACAATAGCGATGATGGCCACAAATCCTTCAGTCACACCCTATGGCTCACCACAGCCCCACTCTGCTGGTAAGGCAGAAGCAGAGGAGTCCCCTGAGTACCACAGGCCTCCCCTGATGTACTTCCGTTACCACGGAAACCACACATCCCATTCCCTCTACTTCTTCCAGATGTCATGATCATTTGATTTAGAGTCCCTTTGACCACCAGGGACCAACTTGCCTCCACAGTGGCCATGCCTTCCCAAAGCCTTATCCCCACGGCTACTGCCATTTTGCCCACATGGCTTGGGGCCCCAGCCAGTCCTTGCTCCTCGATGTCCCAGACTGGCCTTGAACTCACTATATAACCCTGATCCTCCCGTCCTTGAATTGTGCAGACCTCAGCCTGCACAAGGGCCCCTCCCCCACTGCTGGCTGTCACTCTGCCCCTGCCCCTGCCCCTGCCCCTGGAAGGTACCAGCTCCCAGCACTGGCAGTCTGTCAATCCCGGGCTTTATTTGTTGTCAATGGCATCAGCCCCTGTGAATCCTTACCCCCACCCCAGGCTTCCAATGCAGCTGCCTCCATCCAGCCTCAGGCATCTATCTCTCTGGGGTAGGCCCAGAGGACCAACTGGCTGTGAGCTGCACTGCTGTTAGCATGTAGGGGCTTCTGAATCCCAACACCCCCCGCACCAGGCCTCAGTCCCCTGGGCCTTCTTCTGCACCTGACCCTCTCAGCCTTTGAAGCTTTGGTCCTGGGATGTTTGGGGCCCAGCTTTCCCTCTGCTGATTGCCTGGCTTAGTTCTAGTTCCGGCAGCTGCCAGGGTCCGCTCTCCACTCAGTTTCTGAGCTGTTCTAGAGACAATGGATTGTCTGGGACTATGCTTGCTGACCTTGACTATGACCTTTGACACTGCCTGACTGTTGAGCACTCTCTCTCTCTTTCTGTCTCTCTCTCTCTCTCTCTCTCACACACACCTATTGCCACCTTCCCCTTCTCCCCCAGGGCATGGCACCTACACTTCACCTGTGTCCTATCACGCCTGTCTCAGTCCCACCCAAGCTCGTGCCTGGCCTGGACCAAGAGTGTCATCTACACCCCCACCTTTCCTTCTCCTTCATGTACACTGCAAATGTCACCCATGTTGACCATCACGGCTCCCTTCACTGCCACCAGGCTGTTGGGCACCCTCTATAAGACAGCTCCTGCCCCCCTACTCCCATGGTCTCTGGAACACACCTCCACCCAGGCCTCAGCCTTCCTCCCTACCCAGGCCACCAGAGTTACTCCATCCCCAGACCCTCTCCCCTCTTGCCTGAAACTCCCCAACTGGCTGCAAGCCCCCAGGCTGTTTGCTTCCCTCCCACCCAGCCTCACCAGTGTGTCCTTTGCCGCCCCACTCCCAGCCCCGGGTTTAACAGCTCTCAGGGGGCACACGCATGCAAACACGTGTATTGTGAAACTTACTAACATAAACAAGGAATATCCTACAATTGTCACACTGTATGTTACTCCTTATTGACGAGTGCCTAGTAAAGTCTGGAGACCCCATTTCCCCCTCCTGTAGCCAATTTGACAAGGGCAGTAGTGTCTGCCCCAGACTGATCATTATCTCACCAATAATGCTATTGTCTTTGACTATGAGGGCGAGTTGACTGTGGCTTGAGATGGTGTGTGTCTCCCCTTCGGTCAGCAGCTTCACAGAGGCAGTGATGGAAGGTGCGGTGGTTTGAAAGAAAATGTCCCCATAGGGTCCTATATTTGAATGCTTGATCCCCAGTTGGTGCAAGGATGGAAGGATTAGGAGGTGTGGCCTTGGTTGGCTTGGAGGTTTCAAAAATCCTTAGCTCTCTCTCCCTCTGTCTTCTGCTAGTGGATGAGATGTGAGCTCCCAGCTACTGCTCCAGCACTGTGTCTGCCTGCCTGCCACGCTCCCTGCTGTAATGGCCACAGACTCCAACCCTCTGAAACCATGATCCCAAATTAAATGCTTCCTTGTATAAGTTGCCTTGATCATGGTGCTTTGTCGCAGCTGGAAAGGTGCCGTATCCTGCAGGGCCCTTCCCTGAAGCGTGGAGGGGCCTGTCCAGCCCAATCCCGCTGCTTGCAAAGCTCTGGCCACCCTCACCCTGACCAGTCAGTAGCAAGTGCTCAGCAAGGTCCAAGGATGGCAGTGCCGTCCTGGCTATTTCTTGTGGTGCCTGAGAGAGGCTGGTTTTGCCAGAAGAGTGCTGTGTGTCCTCAGATTCTCATTCCCTTGGCATCCTGGCCCTACCCCTCCTAGCCCTCAGGCTTTGGACTGGCATTACAGGTCTGTGGGTGGGCCATGAATTAAGTGACAGGCATGTGTGGGAGCTCGGTAAGCCTAGGAAATCCACAGTTGGATCTACTTCCTGCATACATTGCCATGCCTGATGCCTCCCCGCTGCCTCTCTGTGGGGTATCTTGCAGGGAAGCTCCCAGAAGTATGAAAATCTGGCGGTCCCCAGACTCACAGTCAAGGGAAAACTTCTTTCTAAAATTCAGGGACAGGGCTGGCTGGTGGTTCATCCCCCTAGTAATCCAAGCACTGGAGAGGCAGAGGCAGGCAGATGTGTGTGAGTTTAAGGCCAGCCTGGTCTACACAGGCACCTGCCCTGGCCTAGCGTGCCTGTCCCCTCTTCCTTTACAGCCTGAACACTGCGGTTGCTTCAGATCTATCTGTATGTTGGAAAGCAGGGGTGCCGGCCTGATTTGTCTTGTCCTGTAGGGTCTCCTGCCTGGTGCCTGGAGGAGAACTAGCCAAACCAGCTTCGGTGGAGGCCACCAGAACCTGGAAAGTCCCAGGGGGCGTGAGGGTGGGCTGGAGGGAGTGAAGATGGAGGCTGAGCATCAGCCCTCTGCAGTGTGCCCACTCACTCAGTCAGGGTGTGCCTGCCTACCTGCTGGGGACATCTGTCCTGACTGCTGGGTGTGTGTGTGTGTGTGTGTGTGTGTGTGTGTGGGTGGGTGTGGGTGCTTCAAGCATCCCATTTAGCTTAGTTTGTGATACTCTTGACCTCATCTCTACTTCACCACAGAGAGGTGAAGTCACTTTCCTCAGGTCGCACAGCAGGGAGCCACACGGTTACCTCCCATCTCTCACATGGGTTGATATTTTAAGAAGTGTGTGACCTGGGCATGTCCTGCTGAAGGGAGAGAGGAGAGATCACATGGGATGTTGGAGGAAGGACTTGGAACTGGCAAACTCCCATACATGCTCCTTACAGAGGTTTCCCTGAGAGCAAGCCTGGAGAAGCAAGCAGGAACGCCCCCGTTCCTGTCGGTGTCCCCCAACTATCCTCCTGATCCTCTCAAGGTTAGCTCAGGTCAGAACATGACTTTCTGTTTCCAGGAACAGTGAGCACTCACTTTATGTGCTGTCAGCGGTCACAGGG